CAGGAATTATTCTCAAGTTGACCGTTGCTGGAGCATCCTTCCCATCGTTTACAATGCTCATTACTCCGTATGGTCTCGTTTGAATGGACTGCCAACTGGGATAATTGACACGATTTGTGGAATCACCATCATTTGGGGTGTAAGATTCTACCTCCTGCGCTCACTATATTGACACTCCGCGATGCAGCAGGAAGATGTAGCTGAATCAAACCATTAACTCATGATCTCCCCTCACAGGTTCGACTTACTTTTAACTACTGGAGAAAAGGCGGCTACAGCGTCGGTTCAGAAGACTACCGATGGGCAATATTGCGGAACAAAATAAACAACCCTTTTCTGTTTTTCTTATTCAACCTTACTTTCATATCTCTCGTGCAACCGGTTTTATTAGCCCTCATCACCGCTCCGACGTACCTGTTCGTCCTACTCAGCAGTACCCCCGAAGGGTCCGGACGCGGCGTCTCCGACTCTGTCTTCTCCCGGGTTATCCTCCTCTTCATCTTCATCGAGGCACTCGCAGATCAACAACAATGGCGGTTTCAGAAAGCCAAGAAGGAGTACAATGAAATCGCTCGCGTCCCACCGCAATATAAGGGGATTTACACAAGCAATGACCTGAGCCGTGGCTTTGTGGTTTCGGGCCTCTGGGCCTGGTGTCGACACCCGAATTTCACCGCTGAACAGGGCATTTGGCTAGCATTTTACCAGTGGTCGTGTGTCAAAACTGACCAAGTGTACAATTGGTCGGGTATTGGAGCTCTGTGCTATGTCGCCCTCTTCCAGGGAAGCACGTATCTTACGGAAAAGATTACCGCGTCGAAATACCCGGATTATAGGCAATATCAACTGCGTGTGAGGAAGTTCATTCCACGATTAGATGTCGAGCCGCGGGGGGGAATGCCGGAAGACCATGCTACGGCGGAGGTCCCCAATGAACCAGAGAAACCACAGCCATCGAAATCGAAACCAACTAAGAAGAAGGCGAAGTGATCCCCTTGTCTGCCATCACTGGAAGTTTCCGCCAAACCATTGATCTCTGGTACTCTATTTACCATTGTAGTACATGTGCTTAAGGTCTTCCGTATCATATTTATACGTTTCCAGATACCCTGACTCAATCTAAAATCAACTCATACTGCCCCCTATGTCCATCCAATTAATCTTCGCTACCATATTTCGTTGACCGGTGGCATTATTGGGCCTGATAGAACAACAGCACCAATAATTCCAGAGATGCACTCCAGCATGGCGCAACTCTCACTTGGGAAAATGTCTTGAGAACCTACTACTCGAAATCATAGTGTATAATATTTTTTTTTGATTCAATTATTGATAATTTTTTATTCTTTCTATTTTGATCTTCAGCTTTCCTCGTTTTCTTTTTCAACATTTGACATACCTCATTCATGCCCTGTTTATAAGCAAATGAGCGGATAAAGGTGGAGCTTTGGTATACAAGAGAAGAAATAAAGTTACAAAATTATAAATCAGGGTGTGGAGATTTCAAAGCGGAGACGATGTCTGGGCTGTCGGGTTGCAGTCAGGCAGGGAAGTAGAGGGTATGCCAATGATAGAATAGAAAAACATATAAGAGTGCAACGCGTGAACACCTAGACACTTGATCCATCTGAAATATAATAAATAAAGTACAGACCAAAGGAGAATGAAAGGGAAAGGGAACAGATTAACATAGGAAAAGGACATGTCAAGAATGCACCAGGTGGAGAAAAGAAAAGAGATATGTGAACTTATATACTTCAGTTTCTAAACAGATGAGTGAAATATTGAAATAGAACACCACCATTTTCCTTTATGCTGGACTTGACGACGCAGGGCCTTCCTTATCATCTAATTGACTTGTGTCTGATTTTTCCGCGAGAGCATCTGTCGCTGGAGGCGGAGGCGCTATCGTCCCTTTACCATGCCCTCCATCGAAGTACTTTGCAAACTCGCCAGATTCAGGGAATGGTCGCGGACCAAGCAGACGGATCAAATCATCACGGCTAAGAACCTCTTTGCTGAGAAGCTCCTCAGCAACGATGCCGATTTCAGCCTTCTTCTCCATTAGGAGTTTACGGCACTTTTCATAAGCTTCATTGACGATCCGTCGAACTTCCATGTCTATGTCCCGCGCAGTGTCTTCCGAGAAGGGCTTTTGGAATTGTTGCTGTTCTTCGTCATAATACAGATAGCCAATTTTTGGAGACATCCCGAATTTTGTGACCATCGCGCTAGCCATGCGGGTGACTTTGTTGAAGTCGTCACTTGCACCGCTCGTCACGGTGTCGAAATGGAGTTCTTCGCTAACACGACCACCAAGGGTCATCGCCATTCGATCCATGAGCTGGTTGAAATTCATCAAGTAGGTATCGCCCTGGGCCGGTAGGTACTGGGCATAGCCAAGGGCACCTTGCCCACGAGGAATGATGGACACTTTCAGTAACGGATCAGCATACTTGAAGTACCAGCCACAGATAGCATGGCCAGCCTCGTGATACGCCACCGTTCTCTTTTCTTCCGGAGAAAGAACCAACGATTTCTTCTCTAGGCCGCCAATGACACGCTCGATCGCTTGCTCGAAATGCGTCATAGTTACCTCGTCAGCACGGTAGCGGGCAGCTGTGCAAAAGGTTAGCTCTATCTAAAAGGGGTTTCCCAAAAAGTCAAGATATTGTTTCAGATAGAATGTTTACTTACCAACTAGGGCAGCCTCGTTGACACAATTGGCAATGTCTGCTCCAGAGAAACCAGGTGTCAAGGCAGCCAGTCTACCAGTCAGGTAATCCAAATCGACTTTAGTGACAATCTTCTTCAAGTGAACCCGGAAAATCTGTTTACGGCCATCCATTGTCGGTCTATCAATGGTGATGTGCCTGTCAAATCGGCCAGGCCGCAACAGTGCCTTATCAAGGATATCGACTCGATTCGTTCCAGCAAGAACGACGACTTGTTCGGAAGTGTTGAAGCCATCCATCTCGGTGAGAATCTGATTCAGTGTGCTTTCCCGCTCATCGTTTCCACCACCATAAGCGTTTTTCGATCTCGATTTTCCAATAGCATCAATCTCATCAATGAATATAATACAAGGTGTGTTTTTCCGGGCAGTTGCGAATAGATCACGGACTCGGGAGGGCCCAACACCGACAAACATTTCGACAAATTCAGAACCGCTCACGCTGTAGAACGGAACACCTGACTCGCCAGCAGTAGCCTTTGCCAGTAATGTTTTACCAGTACCTGGTGGACCTGAAAGGATAGCGCCTCGAGGTATCTTGGCACCAAGTCGTTGGAATTGCTCGGGCTTCTTCAGGAAGCTAACAAATTCCATAATCTCAACTTTGGCCTCGTCCATGCCGGCCACATCAGCAAATTTTGTTTTGATATCCGTCTCGTGGTTAAATCTCTTCGCCCTGCTTTTGCCCATGCCGAATATGCCACTCTGGCCACCTCCACCGGTAGCACGTCTCGAGAGCCAGATGCCAGTGCCTATTAGGACGAGGGTTGGGGCAAGACTGAGGAAGGTAGCTCCCCAGGAAACTTCATCTTGATAATCGACTGGGATACGTTCAGATGTTGGTATATCGAGTTCCAGCTGGGCTTGGTCGATTTTCCTTTCGAAGCCTTCAACTGATCCAATTGCGAAGACATAGAAGAAGTTTGGTTGTGTCGCAGGCGATTCGGGATACACGTTTGCAACAGCCTCACGGTGAAGCTCGACTCGCACCTTCTTGCCATTGAGTACCGTCAATTTGGACACGAGGCCCTTATCCAAAAACGTATTTCTGAACTCCTGCCATGTAATATCCTTATTAACCTCTCCTGGAATAATGCTCCGATACAAGTAGTATGAGAGGAATGTAGCCACTAGAAAGGAAGCAGGGTCGAACTTGAATTTGAAATCAAACGGGGTGTTAGAGTTGAAGCTCGGCCCCTTGGGACCATCTTTCTGACTCCGCTGTTTCTGATCCTGCTTTTGTTCTTGACGAGACCCTCTGCTTTCGTCCTTCGATTTGCCATCGTCCCGTCCAGGCTGTTTCTCAAACGAGTGTAAGCGTTGTTTATGAAAATCCCTGTCTGCCATCTTAGCAGCCACCGCTGGTCCATGTCGAGTCCATATCCGAAATATCTGGGTTGCGTGTACAAGGGTAAATTGCTTGGATTCCCTAACTTGCTTGATAAGTTGTTTAACATCGTCCGGAACACCTTCTTCCTTGAACACTTCTGCCATTTCTTCCACCATTTTTTTCTGCGACGCAGGAAGCTTGTCCTTCACCATTCCTAGCACATAATCAAGCTCTTCGATCTCTTCCCGAGTTGCCCGGTACTTTGGCTTTTCGGGTTCCTTGCCGTTCGGTCCCCCGGATGGCGGTCCGCCGTGGGACGAAGGTTGACCCGAGCCACCATCATTAACAGATGGAGGAACGTTCCCGTTTTCCTTGCCAGGATTTGGAAATCGCCGGAACTGGGTTAGATACGAACGGGATTGGCGGGCGTTTAGTATCGCGGGGGAAAGGTATGATTGCCGCGATGGAGAGAATAAACATCGTGTATATATAGAGCGCCCCGCCGCTGTCCCCGAATATCGAGCAAGATTGCCAGGCCGTCGAATAATGCTGGCCATTGTCGAGGGAGGATGGAGGAGGGTGGAGCGGGCGGAAAGCGACAGGAGATTTGGCAGACGCTCAATATTGACCAAGTCGTGAAGAACCCATAGGAGCGTCACTCCGCCAGCATGTACAAAGAGGAATTAAGATAAATGAAGAAGGGAAGGAGCACGAGAAATCCCGTGAGAAGTTCGTGCGTTCGTTGGAGAGCAGTTTGCACGCCTTCTTGGGGATCCGGTGGAGGCAAAGAGGCGGTGGTTGGTTGAAATTCCGCTTCCGAATTTTCGCAGTGGCTGACTCATCCAACCGGTAAGTTACCACGGCACGGAACCATCTAGATGCCAGGGCAACTCCCCGCCAGCCAGCAGCCTACAGAAAGAAGAAAAAGAAAAAGAAAAAGAAGTGCATTGGTCATGATGCGGGCGGATATTTAGCTATATATTATACATTTACAGATATTCCCAATACGCCCCAACTCCGCTAGCCTCTAAACCCGTCTCAGAAAATAAAATCCCTTCATCAAAATGTAGACGGCGGAGTGGGGCCCCCCAAAACGCCAGAAAAGCCTCCCTTGTCCGGGGCTATCATATTATTTCAAAAAAAGGGTAGTAGAAAAGAGTCCGTTGTTCCATCTTGCCATATATTAAAGTCGCTCGCATTCGTTTCCATTCCTACTCAGCCTCAGACACACCTTTCGCCCGCAGCAAACGTCGTCTTAAGTTGACAAATGTATGTCAACTACGCCTGATGCTCCTCTCCGCTTACGAATGGAAAGTTAGCAGGCACGTCCGCCCAGTCCCATTCTAATGTCATTGGCATCTGCCAGAGTTCCTGGGGCACAAATGGTTGCTGAAAGGACGAGAGATCTATGGGCATTGCACAAGGGTTGGAGAAAGACGGGCTGCCGCTGTTGAACGCATTTGGATTCACCTGGTTGGGTGTCAACATTTCAGAAGAAAAGTTCTCGTCATATCCATGTCCGAACTGAGTTCCAGTCGTTGTCGACGCGGCCGTCGGTGTTGCTGTGGTCGTCGATGCTGGTGTTGATGCTCCTTGCTCCATACTCACAGTTTGGTTGAAGTAGAAATTCCCGTCCACTTGGTTTGTTTGCCGAGTGCTTGGGTTCGCTTGAAAGTGTTGTGGGGGCAACGATGCTTTAGGTGTGACATTAACCGGTTGGACATCCGGCGCGGCTCTGGCCTGCTGACCAGTGCTAGGGGTTTGAACAGGCACGTCATCGTCGTTGTTCTCATCGCCTCCAGCCCTTCGCTTGCGCTTTGACTGTGTTTCCTTTTCAGCCCTCTCCAACACAACCTTTGCAATCCTTTCAAATTCAGAGCAAACTCCAAGCATACGTCTAACACTTCCATTGGATTCGTCAGCAACCAGCATCGAAAGAAAATTTACCACAAGTCCCATTAGCTTCACATCAGATCGCGCACGGGCATCTTGTGGGTTTTGAAGTATATTGGCAAACAGCGTGACCAATGCAGAAATTGGGAAGTAAAGAATTAACCTAAACGTATGGAAGTAAGCCATGCATACCCCACACAATAAGGTTGTAGATTTCGGAGTCTACTTACCAAACACAGGCAAAGTCGCCTTGGGGTATATATTTGATCAAATGTATAGAGGCACGAGCAGCAGAAACACAAAGAACAGCGGAAGAGAACACACGTGGGTTCAACGGCCTCGCGTTCAGACCCTGGATTGCATAATTCGATAGGCGGCTCGTCCAGTATCCATGGTGAACAGACATTCGGTGAATTGTGGTCAGACAGTTGTAATAAGCGAAGTGTAGCACCACTATATGAAGAATTAACGGGCGGTGGGTGGCTTTTATCTCATGTTCAGGTCGGAAATCAAGTGGTATGCTGTCTTTCCACTCTTCAAGTTCTCGATCAAGTTCGCCAATCGTATTGAGAAGCTCGCCGTCTGATTGTCGGGAGGCTTTGGTTGAATAGAGCTGTTTATATACTTTACTCTCGATTGTTGCAAAAATGCACATCAATCGGAAAAGATTTAGTTTTCCCTTGCCATCAGAGAGTGGAACATTTCCAATATTATCTGGGGGGTCTTCACTAGGAAGCTCGACATTCATATCGTCGTCATCCTGCACCGGAGGCCTCCCGGATCGAAGACATATACTACATAGTGTTAGCAATTGTCCAAACACTCATAATGAGCGTCTACAAAAAAAGAAGAGACAAGACAAGAGGAAAGGAAAAAACTGCAGGCGGGAAATCCATACTCCTTGTCTAGTATGTATGCGATCCAAAAAACTCGCTTTCGCTGTTCGAGTTCAATGGGATTCAAGCCAAATCCAGAACCGCGCTTATGCAGACCTATACTATGCGAGAGGCGGATTGCTGCAGCAACTAGGAAAAATGTCGGTTGTGGGTTAGGAGTTCCTTGTAGGAAAAGTGACTGTAATTGTTAGATACCGCGCCCATTCTCCAGTTTAGTGCAGTGCTGGGTCTGATTATTGGCACTATTGAACCAAACTTACCATTCCAAGCAAGGCTTGCACGCTCAGGAGATCAGTGTTTCGCATAGTCAATTCCGTCAAAACACCCATCGCATTTTTCAAATACAGCCAAGATTTTTTATCCTCCTCCTGGGGTACCAAGTTACTCATAATTCGTAGTCTGTGAGCTATAGCCAAAACGACATTCATACTAGCCCACCATCCAGAGCCCTCGTAAGGATCGCGGGAATATTGCCGTTCGACCAGATGCATAAAGGTGGGTTCGTGAAAGAGAGGAAAGACGCAATTAAAGTTCTCGAAGTAATCTTTAAAGAGGGATAAAGCTTCCTCCCGGGGAGGCAATGGTTTGAAAACACGACGAGCAAATATATCACTGAAAATCTCCGGCTTCCAATATATCCATTTATTGTCATCTACATATGCAGATGAAATCATGTCCTGAAACGAGGAATCCCCCGTTTTCTCGTTGACCCATTGGATACCTTTCGGTGAGAATATTGAGAAGCCAGATGATGATCCTGCAACCGGTTAACTTGACTTCGACTTATATTATGATCACTGAAAATTTGAGGGATTTTACCAATATATCGGGTCTCCCCGCAATTGTTGGTGACCAAGGAGCACATCATATCTGACAGCGAATCTAACTCCTCTGTCTCCTTTTGGGAGTCTGGTGAAGTGGCCGGAGTCTTGGGGCTGGTGTGAAAATCTGCATGTGGTGTAGAAGTAGTGGGCGATGGTTGGTTTGTTTGATTAAAACCAAACGATGCTGTCGATGGCTTGGATGATAAGCCACTAGGCTGAGATGACTTATCTGCAAGCCGTCTTTCCAGTGCGCTAAGATCTGTTTTACCAGCGTCTGCTTCCGTTAACAATCCGGATAGACGTAGTAAGGATTCCATCCGGCCCAATCGATTTTCCAGCCCTTCGATATATTTGGCCCTATAAATAAGTATTAGTGAGTGTTGTAAAGTTGTTTGGGTGCGATCAACTCTACCCTTTGGGTGGATTGCGTTTCTTCTCCACTTGAGTGAAGATGCACTCCGTTTTATAATTTATACAGTGGGAACATTTTGGCATCTTCCCATCGCATTTAATCTTCTTTTTTCGGCACATATCACACGCCTAAGACCATCAATCAGCAAATGCCCAATGACAGCTAGAAATAGTGCTACGTTTCCAGACATACTCTTGCAATTCTCCGTCTCTTAGCATCGTTGCTCTCCTCCATATTGCTCGTCAAGTGGTCTTCGGAGAATACTGGTCCTGGAAGTGATGGTGTTATGGGCGAACCATCAGGATTGTATGCCCCGAATATCTGTGGAGGTTGATTGACCACCATGTTCATGTCAAATCCCATGCTATCTGCATCTCCTCCACCAAGATTATCCATTTTTCTAGAGCAAGGAGCTGATGAGGGCGTGGCGGTATCTCCAAGCCCTGGTCCGAACGGGAAGGAAAATCGAACGTCCGGCGTGACGGGGGCAGTTAAGGTATCCCCACGCAGCGATAGTTAGCTCCGGGACCAAAACTGGGTTCGCGGTGAATAGCGAAAGCGGAGGGATCAAGGTGGAGTGTTCGTTTGATGCTGTGGCCAGGAACAGTCGGTGCAGAAAGCCAAAAGACGAGGAGGGCGGCGGAGGGGAATAGGATGCTGCTTAATAATGATATAAGTAAATGTAGTTAACTCTCGCTCCCTCGTCTGACAGCACATGGACGGTGGCAGTCTGGCAGATGGGTTCGGTGTTGGACCCAAGATGTTTCCTAATTTGGTGGTCTTGAGGTTTGTATGAACGGCAGGCCGTGGCGGCAAAATGGAATCGCACTGGATGCGAGCGAGAGCATGAAAGGTGCCTCCCCGGGGTTAATATGGGCCCAGAGAAGAAGACATGAAGAAGCCACAGGGAACGGACTGGACGGACTGCAACCACTAGAGCTAAGAAGAAGAGGATCCCAGAGAGCAAGAGCGGTTTCTTTGCTTTTTCCCGCTTTGCACAGTGAAGTTACCGAGGGATGGCGCCAGGCCCAAACAGGCTAGACCCGCGCACTGCACCCAAGCACCGGCGATTTGTCATCACCGACCCGACCGCCAGCGCCCGCCCGCCCGCCCGCCCGCCAACCTCCACCAAACGACACGTATCTCCAAGTCTGTCAATCATATTTGTTGCCGGAATTCTTCTTTGTTTGGTCTCATTATCCGCTGCTGGTCGGTTTGAAACCGAGGTCGTGAATTTTATCAGGCTCGCTCCAGAAAAGCAGCCCCAAAAACATGTATCGTGGTTCCTCTGATAGTGCTTCCTAGCGTATGGCTGACGGAAACAATGAAATGTCCGTCAATGGCTGATGCTTCTTCTAGGGCATTATTGGACTTTAAAGCAGCATCATCCCTGCTCTGCAGTAACCCAGATACGGATACTTCAAGCGCCTTACAAACGACGTGAGGAGAACGATGTTGCTATCCTGATAGAAATGGATCCATGGACTGGTCCAACGACGGTCACTCCGAAAAAGTATGGATACCCGAGCAATAACATAAATCAGAACTGCGATGGCAGTCGATGATGGTCAAGCCACAGCTCGGCCTCGCCCCAGAGCTAAGCCCCAAGCCCTCAGAAATTACAAGGCCGGATCACAGGGAGCAACATCCCGGGTTTCAGTAACTTTACGGAGTACTTCCGCTCGAGTTGTAAAAATTACTTGTCAGCAATAGATCTCCGTCATCCATCATTAACACAGCTCCCAAAGGTATTCTCAAGTAGAAGGATCAGGGAATCCTATCGATTCCCTACAAAAATTTAAAGCCCTCAAGAAATGACTTGTTTGGAATTGGGGCCAAGGCCAACAAAAGTTCCTTCGGCAGTTAGTCTCTCAGATCTACACTAGCGGATCACCCAATACGACATCGTCTCCATACAAGGTAACATACCACACCTGCGGGTACGGTAAATGGCCACCATTGGAAGAATTTCACCCACTGCGTTCGTTTAGGAATTCCAGTTTAGCTAGTGGAGGCTGACGTGGGAGAGGTATTTAAACTGATGAAACCAGGTATCACCATTGTGCCTCCTCTGTCGCCGCCTTTGTCTGCGACGATGGAGGGGGCCAGGATCTCATGGCCAGCAGGCAACCATATCTCGATGGATTTCATCACTTCAAGCTAGGCCGTTGGTGGGGCAAGCAAGTCTGAGTGGGCGGCCAAAGAAAAGCTGATATCTCGAACAATAAGAAGCAACCGACCGACGTTGTCTTTCATGGTTCTGTCAATCTAGAGTTAGTTATACGCGTAATTTTACGAAGCATCAATGGAATGGGGAAGGGCGGCCAAAGCACAAGCCAAGGTTAGTTAACTTTAAAGTGCAGATGGCTTTGATATTCCATCCGTGACTCATAACTTACGAATCGAACAGGGCACTTCCCAATATATTAATGACAAGGAGTTTGCTATTTTGCGCCCCATAATTTATTCTCTTTGAGGTAGGACGCTGGCGGAGCTCGCTCGATATCTGTGGCTGCTCCTCTGCGGCATCCCTTTTTGGTATCTGCACGAAAATTTAGGGCTTGGATCCTGCCAGACTGGAAAGTTGTCACAATCGTATGCGAGAGTCCCATTGGCGTCTGACTCTGACGGTCCTCCTTTCAAATTTAAATCCATTGATTCGTTTTCAGAAATGGAATATTCCACCTTGCTCGTAGCATCGCTTACTTTTTGCTGCCCTTATGGCAGCATTATTGTTGACATGGGCGGGCATTTCAGAACGGGCAGTGTCTCTAAAGTTTCGAAAATCGACTAACTCCGCCTCGATCCTGGGGATCTGAGATTCATCCTGAAAGCCGTTTGTAGTTTCTGAACAGCCCTGCTGGGCCTGCAAGAAGTTGATCGTTCCCGTAACACAATCCTCTCAATGATAGATGGGCAGGACTCACCGTGATGAGGATTAGCACCCTTTCCTTGACGTGCTTGCAAAGACCGCTCATGTTGTCTGAACGAAGCAAGCATCTTAGCTCAAAATCCCTTGGTTTTCGTGGGGCAGGTTTACGATCACGACGCAGCGGTCCCCGCAGGTCGGGCTCCGCGCGCTCCGCACACTCGCTCACCCCGTCGCCGGTGGAACTGGTAGTTAGCGGCCTGGGCAGGCGATGGAAACCTCCAAGATTCTTAACCCCATCAAGGATCATACGGTCGCTAACCCGGAACAGCCAGGGGCACTCCCATCTAGCACTATGGTGGACCTTGGGCTTGGCCGCCCAATAAGAAGTTGGAACAACCTTGGAACAGTTGCATATTCCGCCCTTTAACTTATATAAATTGCTCGTAGTATCCTTAGGCAGCAGCGTTCTTCGTTCACATTTGGAGTTACTGCGTATTCGAGTCAAGATCCGAATCAGGCCATGGATGCGAGCGAAGCCTTTGTCACGGACGGACGACACCGCCAGGATCGCTTGACCATTTCAATTGGTCGTCATTATTATTTTCTTTTGTCTTCCTCTTCCTCTTTCCCTTTGCCAATCGTTATCAGGCTCGGAAGGTTGATGCTGGCAAACAAGGAGACAGGATTGAAGGAACCAAAAATTTCCGCCCCTCCAAAAGTCGGTCAGACTTAAAAGGCGCTCGGGGCGGATGTTGAATAATATCCCGTGCTATCAGCAATCGCAGATCCGCAATATTGTCTTTGGCGAGGCTCATCATCGCTACCAGGGTTCCTGGGGACATATTCTTGACAAATGATCGACCCGAGGGGGGTTCTGGTCGGCTTGGCCCAATTCCCCTGATTAGCGATGAACGAACCGGTTATCAATTTTGCAATGAAACAGTCAAGGAAGAACAGATTGCAGGTTCATCGGCCGGAACTGAACTTGAAAAAGCCGTGTCCGGCTCCCCATAACACCGCGCTAGAGCCACTTTCTATCCAACCACAATTTTGTTCAGGGCAGCTCCGTGACATTTATGACGGTAGAGAATGAGTCAATTTGGAGGAAAACAAATATACCTGCCTGATGCTTGACGTGGAATGGTGAGTTCTCGAACGCATCGTCCAAAGAGGGCAGAGGGAATTTGGTAGTTCACTACACAGTATATCCTGGCAGCCATATAAAATTGTTTACGATACCAAAATCACCTGCTGATGGTATGGGGAAGCCAAAAGAGGCACCCTCTAGTTCACGGGGAGCTCACGTTCATATATATACATACAGCGGAGCATCCTAACGTTCTACATCATCGAAGGTCGTAGTAGGGAGAAGAAGGATGTGGCCACTACCAGTTCTGACTGCACTTCCTGATTTAGGTGAATTCTATAGACTTAGAAGATTTCTCGGGAATTACGCCCCTGGCAGAGAGAATGCAATCGTATCCAGCACAACTTAATTATTGTTTGCCGAACGAGAGCTGACCCATCCTTGTTCTACCTCAAGATTTTAGATGAGAAGATGAGATGGACAATGGTGGGCCAGTGAATTGCAATATATTAGATACAAAAGAAAGCACAGAATCCGTACGAGCTACGGTCAAGGCATACCGTGATGTTAACTGTCAAGTTAACAAGTCCCAGTTGGTACGAGAAGTTTCAATTATGTTACCTAGCACTTGATGTCCGTATGTGAAAATTCTACTTCACGAAATCATGGAGAGAACATGCTTCCTGTCGGGGCAGTTTAAAATCAGCCTTTCCATGACTTGTCTTGTCTTTCGTTCTGTCTATATACCCGCCCGTCTACCATTATTTCCTTCTCCCTTCTATGATCATATATTTTCTTCCTGACAGATTTATTTGAAACCATGACCGGCTCTTTTCATTGCTAAGTATTGAGTGGAAACTGAACGAAACCGAGAACTGGTAAATAAGGCATGGGAAACGAAGCAGGAAAGAAAGAAAAGAAAAAACGAAATTAGCACCTAGAGAGACCTCTTACTAAATGAGATTTATTTCTGATTTTGTCTTTTGACACTTCATTAAGTCTATCTAAAGTTCGTTCACAAGGCGGCGTTCTTTACGGAGAGCACGTAGCTTGACCCGGGCTTCCTCTAAGGGAACAAGGCTGCCTTTCGCTTGAGAGCTAGGATCATCGCGGTTGCGAATGTTAACAGTGCGTGTTGACTTTTCTTGGGCACCGACAACTAGATTATTCGAAAAAAATTATTACGATTAGTATAACTACGGTGGTTCGGGTCACGATGGGGAGAGAGGCTATCGAAGCATCATTAAACGGGAGAAGGAAAAGCCATTGCTTACCGAAGATGAAGTTATACTGCGCGATCTGGCCTGTGCGGATTTTCTTCTGCATCGTATTACCGCTAATATCAATGTCGACGTTTAATTTGTCTCCCTTGAGAATCTGCTGCAGCTCCTCGACATAGTCGTTGATAGCGGGCATGACGGGTACGATCAAGATTTGGCGCGGGCTCAGCCAGAACGGCCACTTGCCGCCGAAATGCTCGATGATAATACCAAAGAACCGCTCGAAGCTACCAATTATCGCTCTATGGATAACAACGGGGCGGGCGCGGCCTGGGCCTGGCTCGTCGCTGTTGGTGGGAGGAGCATCTGGTTTAGCAGCATCACCTGCTGGCTTTTCGTCGGGGTTTTCGGCCGGTTTCTCTGTAGGCTTCGCTTTGGCTCCCGTCTCGCCAGTCATGTACTCCAGTTTAAAGTTCACTGGCATTTGATAGTCCAGCTGGATGGTGGCACACTGGAACTCTCTCTTCAACGCGTCTTGGATTGTGATGTCAATTTTGGGTCCATAGAAGGCGCCATCACCCTCTTCAACTTCCCAGTCATTGCCCTTAAATTTAGTCAAAGCAGCACGTAATTGATCCTCGGCGTAATTCCATGTCTCGATCTTCCCCATATACTTCTCCGGCCTTGTGGATAGTTTCAACTTAAAGCTGAAGCCAAATAATCCATATATGGCACGGAGGAAGTCAAAAAGGCCATCAATCTCTTTCATAATCTATTACCTGCAATTAGTTAAACAACCACGACAAAAAAGGGATAAATGTATAGAATTCACCTGATCCTCAGTACAAAATATATGGGTGTCGTCCTGTTGGAACTTCCGCACCCTCGTGAGCCCGTGTAGAGCACCAGATGCTTCATTTCGATGCAGCACGCCGAAATCTGCCATCCGAATGGGTAGTTCTCGATAGCTTCGTTCTTTGTGTCCGAACATGATCGCGTGTCCGGGGCAATTCATGGGTTTCAATGCCCACGTTCTTTTCTCGATATCAAGCTTAAACATGTCGTCCTTGTAATGTTGCCAATGTCCGGATTGACGCCAGATGCCAACATCGTACATGTTTGGCGATTGAACCTCCTGATAACCGCGCTTAAGATACTCAGACCGCAAAAGCTTTTGCAAGGCGTTGAAAATTTTTGTGCCATTAGGAAGCAAAAATGGGCACCCCGGGGAAACCTCGTCGAAGAAAAACAAATCCTGATCCTTTCCAATTCTCAGGTGATTCCGCTTTTCAGCTTCTTCGAGGAATTTCAGATGCTCTTGCATTTGCTTCTTATCGGGGAATGCTACACCACGTATCCGCTGTAGAGCATCATTGGATTGATCACCCAAGAAATAGGCAGCGGAGTTCTTGAGAAGATATTAACATCTGAGTTATGAAACCGGCTGGCATTACGGATCTGTATACATACCTGCATAATCTTCATAATCTTAATTTTGCCCGTATGTTGGATATGAGGCCCTCTGCAAAGGTCGACGAGGGTACCGCATCGATAAACTGTACTACTCTCCCCTTCAACGAGATTATTAATGTAGTGCAATTTATATTTGCTATATGCGAACATTTTCTTCAGATCCTCTTTCGAGACTTCCAGTCTGTCAAAAGGTTGCTTTTCCTTGAAAATACGGGCTGCTTTTGCATCAAGCGCTGGCCAGTCGCCTTCCTTCACAACATGACTACAATATTGCTTTAAGCTTAGTCAAAGTCCCCAAAAATGGACGAGGCAGGGACGAGGGGTAAAGACCTACCCTGACTCCAAGGCCATATCGTAGAAAAACCCTTGAGGCGTTGGCGGACCATGGGAAAGCAAACATCCATAATGACATTCGCAAGCCTCTCCCAGGACGTGAGCGCTAGAATGCCAGAAAACCTCTCTTCCCTCAACGGAATCAAAGGGCAAAAAAGTGACCCTGCAATCTCTCTCCAACGGCCTATCCAGGTCCCACAGTTCCTTCCCATCCAGTTTCGCAATCACCACAGTAGAACTGATCTCCTTGGGTATATCACGTAGGAACGAGCCTGGCGTGGTTTCCCACGCCTTGCCAATGACGGTGGAGGGATTCGAGTCTCCAATGTCGATCGTAACAGTGATATCGAAGCGGGGCTTATGCTTTAATTCTTCATCATGCTTCTGCTTAAGTTCTTCGAAAAGCTTATTTCGCTCTATAATAAAATCTGGTAGAGGCACTTCTGCAGCAGGTTCAGGCTTTTTCGGTTTCGCTTTTGCAGCTTTTTGCGGAGGCGGGGCACTTGAGACGGAGGGGTTAGAAGCCTCCATGGCCGGTCTGTGAGGGAGGCTCTGTTGCTGGTTCGCAGAACTTGATATGTTGGCGGATTCTCCACCCATTATGACGCTCAACGGGAGATTCCGCAATTAAATCTTCCACAATCAATTATCCGTCTATCGTGGTCACTCCAACTCACTCTATACTCGCTCAACCTTGACTGTGCAAAAAAAGCAATTATTTGAAGGCGGTGAGTCACGTGGTCACTTTTTTGCTCCCACGAATTTTGTCGGCGAAATAAGATAAAGAAGCTGCGCTGCTGGAAAACGCCCTGGACAGCGCTGCTTTTCTCCCATCATCAATTCAAACGCCCGCAACCATGTCTTTCAGAGGAGGCAGTCGAGGCCGCGGTGGCTTTGCTACTGGCGCCAATCGGGGCAGCTCAGGCTTCGGTGGACGTGGTGGTGGGTCAACTTTTGCAAACCGCAGCCCTAGATCTCGAAATCATAAATGAATCTGACTTTTTATTTCGCAGGACGAGGAGGAGGCTTCCAACCCTCATTCGGCCCTCCAGCTACTGTTTTGGGTGAGCCTTATGTCTGATAATCATGTTCCACGCTGCGCTGTAAACTGACCTGTGGACAGAGATGGGTTCTTTCGTGCACGCCTGCGAAGGAGAGATGGTTTGCGAGTCCATCAACCCAAAAATTCCCTACTTCAATGCACCGATATATTTGGAAAATAAGGTCCGCATAAATCGACAGGCCTAAGATTTCCTGTTAGAGGGGTAAACATACATTGCTAATATCTGTGTGTTGCGTGTACGTTAGACTCCCGTTGGAAAAGTCGATGAAGTTCTAGGTCCTATCAACCAAGTCTACTTCACCATAAAGCCCCAGGAAGGAATCGTCGCAACTTCATTCAAATCGGGAGACAAGTTCTACATTGGAGGAGATAAATTGCTGCCATTAGAGAAGTATGCGGGATGCCCTATTTCTCTCCCCAATACTCCGACAATTTTCCCACGAGCACAGATCCACTAATATATCTTTTCTCTTCTTTCCAGGTTCTTGCCTAAACCAAAACCACCTCCAGGTAAACCAATACAACCCTGTGTTTACATATTTCTGCGTCGCGAATAGTTTCTTATTCTATCTAGGTGCCCCAAAACCAAAGAAGGCCAGTGGTGCTGGCCGAGGCGCAGCCCGTGGTGGTCGCGGCGGGCGCGGAGCCCCTCGTGGAGGAAGAGGTGCGCCACGAGGACGGGGCGGAGGCGTAGGAAGAGGAGCCCCTCGCGGTGGAAGGGGAGGATTTACACCCCGCGGTGGTTCCAGGGGCGGGTCTCGCGGTGGTTTCGGCGGGCGGAAGTTCTAGAGGTTTTTATTTTTTTCATTGGCGTTTTGGGAGCTCTCAACGGAGGTTATCAATTTACCAAACTGCTACTTTGTTCTGCATAATTTAAAAAATAAACTGCCTTTATTTTCTACTTCATAAAGGCATTGTGGCATTTATTGTAGGACTAGATGTTCCGTTTTTCGAAAAGTCACGATATTCTGTACATTTCTTCTGGGTGAACTAATGGGATCATATCGATCATGAAACACTGTTATTTAACTCTCCATTAGTGTAAATCGAGGCCAAGAATGATGGAGGTGGGTAATTCTCGTTCTGGTTCTTGTGCAGGCTTTTTTGAGTTCCAAGCTTGCGGTGAGATCCCAATCAATATGACGAAATAAATATCCCAATGCTTGGTTCCTGCGAACCTCAACAACTTCTTGATGGCAATACAAATTTTATTCTCGTTCCCTCCTCCCATCCTCCCACTCTCAACGCTCAACCACATATTATATTATTTTCTTGCTATCTTGGGTAGTTTATTATTTTCTGATACCATAATCAAATAATACCCCTCTTTATGTCGAGAAGAAGCTCTGCCGCCCCCAGCCCAGCTGGCAGTGAAGGCGCCAACGCCGACTCAAGCAGAAAGGACCGCGGTGAGAGCTTATATTGTATCCCCTGGATCTGCTGTTTGTCGATAGCATGCAGCTAACGTCTTTCTCCAGTGCAAGACAAGCAGAAAATGCTGCTCTCGGCTGATGCGGGCCATTTCAGCTTGGTCAGGTCAGTTCCAAGACCGGTGAAATTATCATTTTGCCCACTCATTCTTGAAGCAACAAAAGTTATTAATGGGATTTATTTTTCAATATATATAGAGCATTGCACCTGGCGGACCTTGTTACGGAATTGAATGGTGAGTCGTCTCTCTATGCTTTCTAGTTCTGTTCGTCGCTCATATTCTAACGAGTTTTTACTCTCAATATAGGATTCTGCGGAGGAAAGTCAATATCCCGAACTTGAACAAACACATATGAGTGCAAATGTCCTTCCCTAACACTTTTATTCTTTATAGTCATGTCCGTCTTCTCGTCGATGCGATATTGTCTCGGCGACCCGACAGCGTACAGAGATCTATGGATAGCGCTATCATTTATGCCCTTTGGCCTCTTCTTCGACTTCATGGACGGCAAAATCGCCCGATGGCGGGAAAAGTCATCACTGATGGGCCAAGAGCTCGATTCGCTAGCTGATCTGGTAATAAGGATCCCAAACCCATCGTTAACATCCCTCCTGTAAATAACCTGAAAACTTATTTTTTTTCCCTGCCCCCTTTCCCCAGATCTCCTTCGGCGTTGCACCGGCTGCCACCGCCTTCGCAATCGGCATGCGCACTCCTCTCGACCATGTATTTCTCACCTTCTTCGTGCTGTGCGGCCTTACCCGCCTTGCCCGCTTCAACGTCACCGTGGCCACGCTCCCGAAGGACGGATCAGGAAAATCACAATATTTTGAAGGCACGCCGATCCCGACGACGTTGGGGATTGTGGCGCTGATGGCGTATTGGGTGTCGCAGGATTGGATTTTGGAGGAGATACCGTTCGGCGTAATGGGGGCTGGCTCTATGCTGGAATTCCACCCGGCTGTTGCCCTGTTCGCTATACATGGTTGCTTGATGGTGAGCAGGACGATACATATTCCCAAGCCTTAAAGGGGTCAATGAGTGAAGTAAAATAGGGGATAAAATGGAAGGAGTGGCGCAGGAAAGGGAAATGGGGAAGGGTTGAGTATGGGTGGGAGAGTACATCCGGTGAATATAAGATGAGAGATTAGCGCGACCTCACGGGAAGGGATTGGCAACAATCATTTTATGCTGACTTCCTTTTCATCTTTTCATCTTTTCATTTTTTTCATAAATAAAGACAAAACTGGTGGGATACGTTGGCCTTTTGTGTGTTTGTATTTACATTGAGCTTTATTTATATTTTTATATCAAATACCTAACTGCTACTGTCTGTATGCCTTTTTTTTTTTTTTTTTTTTTTTTTTTTTTTTTTTTTTTTTTGGGATAGCACGTTGAAAGGACAAAGGAAATAGGCAAACGGCCGATTTCTGAATCATATCCCCAGCATCTCTAGATAAATGAATATTTCTCTTTTGCCTCTGCCCTAGCTGGGCATGTGTTTTCATAATGTACTTACAACAGCATATGCTCCGATGGCCAGAACAAAATGGTATCACCATGTATGCAGTAGCTAGCTACCCAGGAATCCAAGGCTACAGGGGGCCTTTCAAATATGGCCAAATGAAGTGATAAATAATCATACGCTCGGGCGGTTTTGAACTTCCCCTATCCACAGGACTTCTACAGCAGAAATTTCAACGGCGTATAAAAGAAACTCGCAATTCTTCAGTTTACTATAGTATTTTAATAACAGTTTGGGGAATCCCCAGCTAAGGTAGACTTAGAAGAGGAATGACAGCCAGTGATCTTAACTGCAGCCCATTTGCATCAAGTATAGAAAGTATGGAGAGCTCTGGTTATTACTCTATCAGTACTGAGATTAGAATCAAATGGTTGCATTATAGTTGCTCTGTAAAGCCGAGAAATGTCTATCTATAGCTATAGACTGTTTAATCGCAAGAATCAGTTCACTGGGGCACTGGTATAGCAATGACACAATTTCATATCTACCATAGTAGATCTGTAGTTAACTATAGATATTCGTATCATTGACTCAAGGCAGAGAGTTCTTTCTCCGCCTGATACCAGACATATCCAGCAAGAAAGAAATGAATGCAACGGCTTGAGTTTATACTATAAAAGAAGAGTAAGAGGAAAGTGTGAAAAGTATTAACATAGTAGAGTTACTCTATAGTGAGTGATGAGATCATAATAAGAGTAATCAAGATTCCAATTTCTTTTGACTCTGCAGTTTGAACTGTCAACAGCATCTGAGTAAATTAGCAGCAGTTGCTATATTCATGATAAGCTCACCAGCATTCAATAGAAAGAGAAGAGATTCATACACATTAAGATTCAGTGGCTGTAAAAGAAAGATCAACTTCAAGAGTAGAAAGAAGCTCATTCATGCAAAATAGAGATATGAAGAGAGAGGAAGCGGTTATTGAGCTATAATTGCAACAGATTGAAAGCATACTAACACTCTTTCTCTAGAGTGCTCTTGCAGTCTTAGAAATTGAAATTCTAACTCATTTTCTTTCTCTTTTCTTTCTTTTTTCATTTTCATTTTCTTAATCAACTCAACTCATGGCAAGATGAATTATCCATAAGCATAAGTTGTAGACTCTCTTGACACCAGGAGTAAAAATTCCCATTTACTGGAATAACTAATAAATAGATATCAATGTGCTATTAGCAATCATGAATAACTTCTCTGCTTGAGTAAACATATAAAAAAAGAAAAGAATAACCCTTCCCTATGTGTGTTGTTGTACGGAGTACTCTGTATGTGCTCAAACGAATCAGTTGGTTTTAGTTGAAATTTGTCCGAGGGAGTGTGATACACCGCCGGTGGTATTGGGTATTGTATGTAAAGCAGATTGAAAGCATGTACGGAGTACAGATCCATACCATACGAAGAACTTAACTGTTTGACGATTTTATTTCGAAATTTTCCTGACTGTTGCCCGTAACAGTATGTATAATAAATAGAACAATTTAATATCTTTTTCTCGCAGACTGCAGAATAATATATCTACAGATATCTTATAAACATGCAGAACAGACAGAACGTGCTCTGATATTCTATAAACATCAAGATCTCTCTCCGTGTGTATGTTTCACACCAGCCAGCGATATATGTAAATAACAACCATCAAAAAGCCGCTGAAATTACGCTGCACAAGGGCTCGTCAAACCAGGAGGGCAAATTGTGGCGGTGCCAGCCTATTGTGTACATGTACGGAGTACGCTTGTACTAGACTCGTCCCTCGAAATGTTTCGGCCGCGAACAGGCAAACCTGTTCCCACTTGTTTAATAATTCGCTTGCCATCATGTGGTTGCATCATCACAAGTAACAAGTTTTACTAACAAGGATGGGTGGGTGAGAAAAAGAGAATGTCCATTTTGCCGGCTTGGTTCCTTTTGAGTTTAGGGCCGAGCCTTGAGTGGAGCTAGTTGAGGGTTTTTTGTTGGTTGCTTCGAGTTAGTCAGGGGGGCATTTGCAACGGGTTGATGCGAATGGAGCCAACTCAGCCACCTTGTTGTTCAAAGGGCCGGCGTCGCCTCAGAATGATAATAATGAAGCCCGCCCTGGAAATAATTCCAAGATTGAGAGAAGATGTGGTGTTTGCCCAATGCTGCTTCTTTTCTTCTCTTCTCTTCTCTTCTCTTCTCTTTTCTTTTTTTTTCGCCCTTGCGTGTGATTTTTATGAAGAATATTGCTGATCTTCAATTTTTCCAGGTGTGATATCTTGACTTGTATTTCTTGAGATCTCAGTCAGCTTGGCACTTTATATATATCTACATATGAATATGTCCAACAAAAATTTTCAAAAGGAAGAGAAAATACTGCAATATATAGTTTGTTTCTCCTTGTGAGAGGTGACAAATCATGAGCAGCTTGAAAAAAGAAGTGACATTGATGAAGATTGTTTCATAACAAGTCATTCTTCAAGCCTGTGATTGGATTGTTTTTGAAGTGTGAAGAGACAGTTTTTGTCTGAGAAAATAATAACAGCATTGATCACTTTGATTTCAGTTGTGATATTTTCTTGCTTTGTCTAATTTTCTTTTAGAGATCAACAAAAGAGATGTCACAGATAAGATGGAAAACATCAGTGAGTGTGAAGAATATAACTGTAGTTCTACTGCACAAAAGATCACATATTCTTTTTTTTTTATCAGATCTGATTAAGATCCATGATGCTCATGCACTGATGCATTACTTGAAGAGAGGCATGATTGTCAATAATAATAATGCTTTGTACATGTATGTAACATACATGTACGGAGTACATGAGCTGGCAAGGGGTCAGGTTGAATCTATCTTTCTTTGAGAGATAAGTCCGCCTTAAGTTGTGGTTTCATGTTTGAGGGGCAAGAGGTTGTTTTTTTCTGCCTACGGCAGGCTAAACAAAGACAGTGAACACGAGACTAACTTGCAGATTGTTAGTTGATTTCTTGCTATGAGCTTGTGATGGAGATCAACCACCGCACCACCGCACCACCGCGTGGAGTAATTATTATAATTATTACTATTATGGTACGGAGTACTCCGTAGTTTAGTTCGGATGCGGGTTAGGTTGGTTGGCCAGTCGCTGACTAAGATCTGGATCTTGGTACTGTAATCCTGGTACGCCAGGTACCCGCGTAAATAAGCGTATTTTGCAAGCTGGAAATCTGGGGTCTTGGAGAGAACAGTGTCGATACGTTTCCGCAGCCAACAAACAACCCTGGGTACAGTACATGTTACCTGACCCGTGCGTACAATCCATACACCCATACATACATACATACATACATACATACATACATACATACATACATACCGTACCGGTACCTGCAGACAAGCCAGGTCCGTTCGTCGTCGCCCAAAAGTTCTTCTTCGCCCAACCCACATCAACAACATCGTCCGTCGTCGTCTTCTTCTCCCTTCTCTTCTTCCCGTCTGTCGTCTTTCCCACGCTCGTTACCTTTCCCATCTCACACCACACCACCCCCCTCCCCCCCCCCCAAGCATCCGGTCTTTTGTGAGCTTTTCATCGGCTGCTGTAGTCCTTTTACGATCCTTCTGCTCGCTGCATTATTCTATTCGTCTTGATTTCGAGTTTATATTTTTTCACCTTTCCCTTTTTTGACTCCCAACTAAACGAACACAAACGTTCCACAGGAAGGATCAGGGGGTGAGTCCGTTTCGTCTTCCCCACTCCTCAAATACACGCTGCATTCCATCCATCCATCCATCCATCCATCCATCCATCCTTCATCAAAACAGGGTATAATTATTCATCATTATTATCGCTGTTGTTATTGTCATCTTTTGTTTACGACTACACTCTACTATCGAGCTTCCCTTCTGACCCGGATTGCCGTTTAGACTCATCTCCCTTTGTCAGTGTCTGTCCCTCAAGGATCAACAATCGCGTCAATGGTGGATGACTAGGGGAGGATCCATTTAATACGGAGGAAAAGGAAACGTCTGTCCCTGGTGAACTAGACTTCGAGAAACGGGGTTTCTTTTCGAGAGAAACAATAGGTGGGAAAATATATTCGTGAACTCGTTGCTGGCCCTCTCGTTCGACACCCCAGGACTCCAGTATTGGAAACAACCTCCAATAAACCATTAAGGGCCTCTATTTCCAGCATTCTATTTTCCGTCATTGTTTCTTTTCTCTTCGTCCCAACACTCGGACCACCTCTCGACATAACAAAAATGAAGTTCATATATCAGGGCCTCCTTCTGGCCGTGCTTATTGGTATGGGCACTACCGATCCAGTCCGCGTTGTCCGCCAAGTGACAAAAGAACCACAAATACAAGTGAACAAGACCGTCGACAAAGGCTGCTACAAGTCCAGCAAGCCACTGGAGGATTTTGGTGAATATACGTGGCAGTCAACTGGACACTGTCAGCAAATATGCGTCAGAAGTCAAAAGCCCGTGATGGCGCTTTTCAGCGGCTCCAATTGTTACTGTGGAGATCAAATACCACGAGAGTCAGACAAGACGAAGATGTCTGCATGCAATTCGCCATGCGATGGATGGCCCTCTGATACATGTAGGTTATCCCATTTCACCCACATATTTTATTTTATTTTTATTTTTATTTTATTTTTATTTTTTATTTTTAATTATTTTTGGATATCAAAAAACTGATTAGCTCAGGCGGAGGAGAGGAGGCATTTCATGTACTCCTTACTGGCTTCATGCAGGAGAGATTCATCCCAGTGCTTGGAGGAAAATCTACAACAGCGGACAGCTCTAGCAGTACCCAAACTTCCTCCACCTCCAAGAATGGAGGACCTACCGTCGTTGTCACCGCTGATAGTGATTCCGGAAATGGTCCAAACAAAGCCGGTATCGCCGCTGGCGTGGTCGTGGGTGTCGTTGCTCTAGGTGCCCTAATCGGTGGTGGATTCTTCTTCATGAAATACAAGAAGCGCAAGGCCGTGGAAGAGGAATATCGTCGCAATGCAACGATTAGCAGTTTCGTCTCTGGAGGGAAACCGGGCTCTTCTCAACATACTTCATTGTCCGACTCTCGCCTGGATCCAGTCATGATGTCCCAACGACGCCAGAGCAACGGCAGTATCGCTGACGATCAAGATTTCTCAAGGAGAATTTTGAAAGTATGGTGTTACAAATCTTACCACGGTGGTTAGCGTGTCATTGTCGTCCTATGCTAACATATTTTTCTCTTTAGGTCACTAACCCAGACGGTGGTCATTATTAAATGAATCGACCAAAGGAGCTGGCTCATCGATTTAACCAATAATTTACCGCCAAAGATATTCTCTCAAAATAGCGAACAAATTTCTCCTGTTTTACCAAATCTCAAACCTTACATATACGCTCGTCCTCATCAGCTTTCTTTCCCCTGTCCGAGATACCAATGCCTTCTTCGATTTGCAAACACTGATTTTCTCGCCCTGGAATCCGCGTTCTCCCTGTGCATATCCATACGTTTTTCGCTCCTGCTTAAACCCCCCCTCGCCTCCTACTATTCCCTCAATCTATATTCCGATTGAATCTTTACGAGCCTTACCCCACAACTGTTTCCGGCGTTCTGGCATTTGAAGCGTGACGATGCGGACGAGTTAGTTGTCTACATAAACCCCCAACCCCATTATTTACCGACACCCGTTGTTACACACCTCCTATCCTAGTAGAAAGCAGCTATTCAAAACACAGTAACCCCCCGCTGCTAGGTTTATATTGTGCTTCTGATTCACCCTCACCTCCACTAGTGATAAATCAAAGCTGACAGTCAACCAAGTGATGATAATGGAAAGGTTGGCAATATTTATATATGGCCCTTATTTTGTTTTCCACCCCTGCCCTCTTTTTTTTTTTTTTTTTTTTTTTTTTTTTTTTTTTTTGTCTTTTTGGTGATTCCTACCTACATAATTCACAACCCCATTGTTTGTTTCATATTTTTGAATTTTGACCTTGTTTTTTCTTTGTCTACCTAGTGCCTGCTTGGAAATGTGTGCAGCAAGGGGAAAAAAGGGCACACACGACCTCTTATACCATCATCTACTTTCACGCCGCTTCCACACTACTTGCTTATTCATTCTCAAATTTCTCATTTATCATATCTCCCTAGTCCTTTTACATTTTATCTTCTGACCCTAATTTTTTTTTATTACATTTTTTTTTTATTTCATCCTTTCCACATCGAAATATCAACGTGCCCGTGTGGTGGGGGTGGATATGTGTGTATTTGTGTGTGTGGAGGGTCAGGACATTTATGGGTTGAGGGAGGGGACAGGGAACCTCTTCGTCCTTCTTATCGAAAGAAAACATATATACACCTCTCTTTGCCCCCCTTTTTCCCCTTTTCCAACTCTTGTATGGGGGCGTTCATTTGTTGTTTTCCGTTTGATTTCTTCCTGTTTTTTGTCATAACATCTTATTTTTTCTGTGCGCATATATGTGTGTAAACAGTGGTATAACTATCAGAATATTGGAAAATCATAGCTTTTGTTTTTATTTCCTTATACTTCGGGTTTTTATTTGTTATTGCTGACAATACACATATCTGCTCATATGCATATACCAGCTACTGACCGGGCAATAAAGAGAGGAAAGGGAAAGGGGATGTGCAGAGAGTTGAAAGTGAAGAAGGGGGATGGATTGTGATGTATTCATTCGCACAAGATGGATGGTTGTATGGTTGTATATATGCATGCTTTGCATGCATGTATGCAGGTATATGTGCCTGTCTGCACCAGTTGTATACATGCATGAACCATGGAGTATGCACAGGATATCTCTGCTGAAGGTAACTGAAAAAGCCCTTGACGAATTCCCTGCCTTTAATTTAATATGCTCTTAAGGGTAATATTTTTCTTTCTTTCTTTGTTTCTATAATGGATGAATGGGGTTGTTTTGTGCATATGTTTCCATACATACACATACATATACAATGCTCCCCATTCTAGTCTGTAGTCTGGGCTGAACTGGGCGGATGGGATAGTGGGATAGGGTAGCAAAGGAAAGGAAAGGAAAGGAAAGGAGAAGGGAGCGACAATGTGTCTGGTGTGCTTTGGTGGAATTCTTGACTTGAGGAGACTGGTTTTTTATATCTATATATCTGCAGATATAACTATCCTATCTGTTCACTATCCTCTGGAATTGAGAAGAAAGGGAGAACACATACACAAACATATCATCTTAACATCTCATCTCATATCACCTGTCAAACCATATCTTGATCTTGTACCCTATCTAGCCCATACATATAATACCATGTCATAACACCCCCAAAACCCTCCCGAAAAATTCTAAAAACCCTACCCACCGCCACCCGAAAATAGATCCAGATCTCCTTACATCAATAGACTAATGCCATAAACAAACTCCATCTCAAAAAAACACCACCTTCCCCTCTTACCCCCCCTCCTTTTCCTCCTCCTCCTCCCCTCAGTTCATTCCCCTTTCCCCCGAGACAAATTATCATAAACCCCCCACCACACCCCCATGCACGCCGCCACAACCAAATCCAGCATCTTCAACCCCTCATCCTCCACAATCAACTTACCCAACTTCGCGCTCTTGCCAAACACGCCGCCGCCCGCCCGCTCGCGGCCCAGACTCAGATCCAGCCGGCCGGCGAACTCCTCGACTTGGCTGCGCAGTCTGATGGCGCGCGTCGCGGGCGTGTGGGTACTGCTGCTGCGCGTGTAATGCGTGTTGCTGTGGTGGGTTTTTTCGTGCTGGGTATATTGATGCTGGTGCTGCTGTTGCTGGTGGTGCTGGTGCTGCTGGTGGTGATTATTGTTCTTATGCGGCGTGGAGAATATGGGTAGATTGAACCGGAGTTCTGCGGCTGTTGCTGTGGAGCCCAGTACTGATTCTGGCGATGAGGAGGGGGATGATTGTGCTGCTGCTGCGGCGGCGGCGGCGGCGGCGGCAGCGGAGGCTTCGAGGGCTGATTGGAGCTTTTGAAGGTTCAGATGCGGATTGGGCGGGGTGTTGGGGTCGTAGTTGGCATCGTCGCTGCTGGTGAGATTTTGGAGATTTAGGCCGGCGAGCGCGGGGTGTGTGAAGGGGATTGTGTGTTTGCATTTTAGGCTTCGGCCGTTGAGGCCCGTGACGAAGGTGCAAGTGCCGTCCCAGGGTGATTTGAAGGTATAGTATTTGCCTCGCTGTGGTTTTGAGGGGGGGTCTTTGGTGGTGGCTGTAGTCTGGTTCAGCGGCGGGAGGCTGTTGATTGATGCATTGCTGTGATGACTCCCGTGGCCGCGATGGCTCTGCCGGTTGGTGAGGGTGAGGTGGCGGATGAATCTTCGCGGATCGTCCGTGGTGTCATTAGCGGTGGGGTCGGGATAGGATGGGCGCTCTTTTACGCCGAAAGAGATGCTCTCAGCACCTAGTTTCTTATAGCCAAGCGTGAGGATTTCGATGGTTATCGTGCCGTCCAATGCTACTTCGGGGGATGATTGGGAGATGCAATTTGTGATGTTCCCGACGTTCCACTGGACGTTGTTGGTCGTGTCCCGACGTATAAGAGTCAGGTGGAAAGGGGGAGGGGGTTCTTTAGTTTTATCACCGCTCCGTCGTCCTCCCTGTTGGAAGAAACTGGGGGCCGTACGTTGGTGATCCTTGGAGGTACGTTCGGGAGAAAGACGTGAGTATCCAACATTGTATGATGGGTTTTGTCCGAGCAAGATGGACGATTGTCCGCCATCCCAGCTAGCTCGCCACTGCGGAGCGGTCGGTGGAGTTAAATATTCACTTCCCCCATATGGATTCCCGGGCTGTGTGTCACGTCTCGATCGACCACTTCCCGCCTTGTTGTCGGTATAATTCGGGGCTGCCTCGGGGTCCAGGTGTTTGCTAGGATCTGAAGGAATAGGGGGTAAAGGTCGTTGGGCCAAGATGGGATTCCTCTGTGACTCTGGCGATCCACCTGGCGCTAATCCAGGTGCCTGAGGGCTTCGTGTTCGTGTTCGTGGTTGATGATGACCCTCATTATCAGCCCCGGTTTGAAAAGGAATATTTGTATCCGGTGACACTGGTCGCCTGGGAATGGAGGGCGGTTTTAGCTCTGTGCCCGGCACAGGTTTTCTTTGGATGGGAGCCGATAGACCAAAGGGAGGAGGATTTCGGTTCACGCGTGGGAGTGGTTTGTTGAGGCGCTTTTCCTCTTCAATGGCACGCAGGACGGCCTTATCGTCCGGGGTTGAGACATGGATGTAATAGAGAGCAGCTTCGATGAGAGCTGGAGAAATGCTGGATTCTGTCGGAGGCTTGAGCGGGGAAAGGAACACGTCTAGGTGGAAAATTGAATAAAATATATAAATGTTAAGATAAATTGATATTCTTATTCTTTTGCAAATTGGTATAGGATAAAAAAAAAGACAACTCTTATATGAGCTTTTATTGTCTTTGCGAAATCGGACATTTTGCCCTGGTGGTTTCCAATATGGAGCAAGTTGGAGGAGGAGGAGGAGGAGGAGGAGGAGGAACATACCTCTTTTACCCGGCACACGCACGATATACAGCACCAGGGGTTTCAGGGGAGCCTTGGATGGATTCCTCGGATAGCGAGGCGGATTGGAAGCCAAATTAATAAGAGGAGCATACGACTGTGCTTCCACAACGTGGCGGGGAGGGGCATTCATGCTGATGTTGGATCTGAGTATAGTATAGTATAGTATGGCGGGGTGTCGGCCGGCGACCTCCTTAATCTTTCGATGTGTGATTGATTTTCACTTTTTTCACTGCTATTCAATGGATAGGCATCACAAAAGGGCAAATAGCTTCTTTTTGAAGTTTAGAAGAGAGAATCTCGGGCTGGTATTGGTGTATCAACATCTAGTAGTAAGTCTGTGGTGGGGTTGGACGTGTGCTTCGATCCCGTAGAGAGAGAGAGGTCAGCGGAAAGAAATTCTTTTGTTTTAAAACAAAAGGCAAAATATAAAGGAAATTAAACAAGAATAATGGTCTTATATGAGAAGGGAAAAGGAAAAAAAAAGAAAGAAAAAAAGAAAGAAAAGACCCGGTGGTGGTGATGTGTATGTAGGTTATGTATAGGAGGAACTTACCCCGGATAGACCTCTATGAGCCAACAACAACCCAGACACCCGAGCGAGAGCTATAGAGTCATAATTGAAACACTTGTGAAACTGATCTGATGTTAGACAAAAACGAGTTGCATCTCGTGAACCATCAAAGGAAGGGGAGGAAGCGAAAGAAGAGAGAAAACAAGAGCTTCATACTATGCACGGGTCAAGCAGTTTTATATTGAGGAATTGAGAAGAAGTTCAGGGATGCAGACGAGCAAATAAAAAGCAAATAAGAAAAGATAAATATAAATCATAGATAAGTTATTAGCCAACCAGTTTTAAATGTTCCAACCTCGTATTTCCCTGTGCTTTTTGTTCTAGTTAACTTACAGATCCGTAAACTTGTTAACAACTTTATCGCAATGAAGATTCCAACTTTAATTCAGTCAAGTCAGGTACAACACATCTTTTCTCAGGGCACACTCGTTTTGCATCCTGTATAAAAAGTAAAATAATAAATATAAATATATAATAAAAAAAAAAAAAAAATACAACAGAATCCCCCGATCTAAGCCCTCCCCCTCCATTCCCGTCCTGTGGCCGCACCGCCACTCGAGTAACCCGCCGGCGTGTTCCCTCAAAACCAGCCACCGCCCCCGCCCAGCCCGGCCACGGTGTAACGGACTAACACTAACTATTGACATCATTGATACTTTGTTTTTTGCTCCTTGATCGATCCGAAGACCAATATAAACTATGTCTCCCTAGGTACAAGTACACATACATACATACATGCTTTATTAGACCGAGTTGGTGATTGGGCTGTCAACGTTCCCTCTGAAGAGTCAAAGAATCAAAGAACCCGCCGCGCGTTGCTGTGTTGGATGGATTCTTTGCAACCATGTTGGAGACAAGAAGACGTAAGCCCATCATCCCTCCTTTTTTTTTTTTTTTTTTTTTTGGCAAAGAAGTAGTAACTAACTACGGAGTATAGGTGAAGGGTAATGGTGAACATTCCCGCGGGTTGAGAGATGTTTGTCTATCACTTTTGATTGAACTGCTCAGCAAATTTTTTTTTTTTTAATAGAAAAATACTTCTACAACTTCCGCTTTTACAACTGGTTTTCCCCAAATGTGAAAGAGTGCCGAGTGGAGGGAGAGGGCTACGATCTATCATCGGGGACGGACCAGGAGTCTTCCCGGATCGCGCCAAAGTCACACAAAATGCGTGGAAAAGGTACACAACACAACACAGCCACGGTTGTGTAGGCACCCTAATTAATCCATGCGGCAGTACGGAGAAACCTGTACAAGGGACGAATATGTAAAAAAAATTCGAGATAAGGAGGTAAAGAAGGCCGAGAAGATCATGTGTGCATCAGAGATATAAAGGTTATGTATGTGTATGTAAGTGCCTATACGGATGTAGGGTGGTGTTCCCGGTGGGAGGATGACTGGAAAAAGAAAAGAAAAGAAACGAAAAAGAAAAATGAGACAAAGGGAATAACAGGCCGGTGCATGTGTGTGTGTGTGTGTGTGTATGTATGGATGTATGTATTTATGTGCACGAGTTTCCGCCACCAATAAGAGAGAGAAAGACAGAGAGGAGGGAAGGGAAAGGGATTTGTTTGTAACGTATATCTAGGTACGAAGGTATCTTCCAAACTTCAAGAAGTTTGTTTTAAGGCGGTGGATCGACGATATAGGAGAGAGGATATAGAGTTTGGAAAAGGGAGGAAGGAAATGACAAAGACAAACAAGGCCGGACAAAAAAAGAGCAGAACGCCTGAGCTCCCTGGGTAGTAATTATAAGTAATTACAATTGTGGAAATAAGAGGGGGAAAAAACGTAATAGTTTCAGAATTGTCCCAATCCCCGAAAAGCCCAAGAAATCCATCATCCAGGACAAAAGAGGAAGAAAAAAAAAAAGATCTGGTCCCATTGAACATGTACAAAAAAAAAGGAAACGAACCCCGGTTTCAGACGACCGTCTCGGCCCGTTCGCCTTCAGCGACTACAGGAACGCCGAGGCCACGGTCAGGGCTTTGCAGAACCAGCTGTTCATGTCGTCGTGCCCGGAGGAAATCGCTGACGGCCCGGATCAATATAAACCAACCAACAATCATAAGTACATACGAGACCCATTCGCTTGTCGTGATACCCGCGAGCGGCTTTGAGCTTCCCGAGTCGGCACCTGAATCATACCCGGGTTCGCCCACTTTGTTCGGATCGAAATTATGGCTATTGGGGTCCGGTGGGGTGGCGTAGCCGCCGTCAGGTTCCGATGGCCTATTTATTTCGCTGCTGCCTTTCATGTAGAAGCCGTATTGCACGAGGGTGAGGCCCAGACCGGCCCTGCTGCCGTTCTTGGCCGCGTGGGTTGTGTGGAGGAGGTAGGTAAGGAGGAATCCGACAAGTTGGAAAGACGTGGAGATCATGCCGTTCCAGATAAAGGAGAATATGGAGCCGACAGGGAGGCCGTCAACATAGACTTCGTCGGAAGACATGCCGGGGGCAACAATGGTCGTCTCCCAGTAAGGGGGGGTGGCGTCAGCCGCTGCTTGTTCGTAGGTCTGCAACCATGTCAGCAAATACATCCTTCTCCTGCTACTGAATACAACAAGTCCATAACACGTTTGAAGCCGCTGTAGAATTACATACCGGTGGTAGATCCTCTGTTTTTTCTCCGCGCTCTGGCTTCGCAGCCAAATTTGCAAAAACCCCATCGTTCGTAGTCCCAGCCCCGTGTATCGTTCTAGACGAGGTGGACACCGGTGGATTGAATGCTGCCTGCGCCATATTCCCAGTTGTCGACACGCCCTGAGACTGCCCTCCATTTCCTCCGCGGCCAAAGTGCGTTGAACCGTTATCACCCGGGGGGCTGGTACTGCCCCTCATCAGCCTTTGTCTGTCATCGGTCCCATCTTCAGCATCTGAGTCTTCGTCATCATCGCCAAACGTATCCACGAGGGTTTGATCCGCTTCTGAGTGTAAAGGGTCATGGGATAAGAGACGGCGCGAGGGAGGGGAGGGCGATCTGGAGTGGAACGAAGGCGGAGGAGACGTGGGTATGTGTCCAGATGGGACAGGGTGTAATATTTGTTCATCATCATCGTCTACATCGTGTCCATCAACCTGAAGGTATACATACGTGTGGTTAGCACTAGAAAATTTTTACAAAGTCGCAAGACCTCGATCTGATTATCACGGCGAAGTAGGGCCACCGTTGGTTGGAAAAGAGATAGATAGGAGAGATTGCCATACCCGCTGATATCGATGTGCGCTCATGACTGAGCCACAGTGAAGAACGTCAAATGCAATACAGAACAGGAAACGAGAGCAAAGAACGTAGCAGTGGGGTTATACAAGTAACAAAGGGGGGAAAATATATAGGAGACGGCGTGAAAGATGGCTGCGAGATGGGATAATTAGGCGCTGCTGCTCCAACGATTGAGACACGAAAGCGGAGGTTCAGAGCGGGAGGAGTTTGACCAGAGCAAGTCAGCAAATCATATGACATTGTTGGCCCTTACGGCCGTTGCGGTTAGCGATCCCACTAGATCACGTGACCCACCACTATATTATGTTCCTGTAGATAGATCTATCAATACAATCTTCAACTATCCTACAGGTTATAGCCCGGATGGCACATTTTTCTTTTTAGAACATTGCACCAACATTTTTAACACAGATAGTTCACCTTTTTTGAAAAGACTCTCACTCTTTATTAGAGATATTTCATTTTCTCTGAATCTGCTGATCAGCAGATTTATATACTTTATTTTTTTTAAGAAAGTATGTTCTTCATTGTGAAGAATATCACTTTTTATCTTTTTTTTTTTTTACACATCTAGAAGAAGCAGAGTCATCTTGATATAAGTGATACATCTATTACTTCAGAGTTTAGCTCAAGACTCAGAATTACACACTTCACTAGACAACTCATTGATAGAATAATCACTTATTATGAGAAAGCTTCTAACTTGCAAGATGAGACTGAGATCAGTTTTCATCAGAGTATGAAATTTAATAATGATGAGATAACAGAGAAACTTCAGAATAAAGAAAAGCAGAGTTAATATTTATCTACAGAATCTATTCATTTCAACTTATTAAATTCTTCACTATCTCTCATTCTCAGAATACTGACTTTTAATAATGATTTAAATCAATCTATCTATTACACTGCAGGCAATCTTATAAATCTTATATAGATAATATTATAGAATTAAATAACTACAGCTGAAATTACTTAATATCTCACTATATCTGTCTCTGTATAAAGAGATACTACAAGAAATGAGTTATGAAAATACTAGAAGAAAGTTAAATATGTATTAAATATCAAATCAGTGATTATATTTAATAACTTTAATTATAAAGTCTGATATGTTGATATATTAACTAATACAGAAGTTATTAATGAAACTAACATTCTATTAAGAACTTAACAAGAATCTTCTTTTATATATTATATTAACTCTAAGAAGTGAAGAATCTGTTTTAAGTCTCTATATAGATATATACTATTAAGTCTTATTAAAAACATTTAAATTACTATTAAAATCTTGAAAGCTGATAATACTACAGCTCTGTGAGATAAGATTAATATTAAATATATAATATCACTGATAGAAGAACAAGTTAATATCTTCAAGAAATTGATAAAATTATAAGTTAAGAAGAATGATTATTTTACTTTTCAGAGATATTTTCACTATTTTATTACTTATTACAAAGAGCTCTGTCAGAGCACTGAGAATATATATTATAATCTTTTTCTCAATAATCTACAAGATTATCAAAGACTGTTTATTAAGATATATTTAAATGAGTTTTTCTTCACTGATCAGAAACTCATTGTTAATATTAATATTAATAATTTGATGAAGCAACTGATCAATTGTACATTTAAGAAGATTATTATCAAGTAAAAGAAACAGTCTCAGACTGATTCTATAACTATGAAAAAGAATAAAGATAAGAATAAAGATGAGAATAAAAGCACATCTGTATAAAAGTGCACTCACTGTAGAAGATATAAATATACTATTAACAGATATTTCATCTTACACTCTGATAAAAAGAAAAAGAAGAATGATAAGAAGAATAACAAGAAGAAAGAGAAGAAGAATGACTTAATAAGTTCTCAATCAGCAGTGAATACAGTAATTATAAAGATTGAGTTCTACTTCTCTTTCACAGTTATCAGAAAATCATTCTCTAAATCTTGATATTTGAATACATGTGTAAGTCTGAATATGACAGATGAGCTTTATTTCTTTTCAAATATCAGATCTTTTAATGATAATATCTCTATCAATTCTGTGACTGAGAGAACTGAGTTTGTCAAGAAGATTGAGACTGTCATCTTGAAGATTGAGAGTAATAATATTAACTTACAGAATGTTTACTATATCTTTAATATTACAGTTAATCTGCTCTTATTTATAAAGCTTGAAGATCAGAGATTCTGATTTATATTATCTTCTACTATTCTCTCATTTTTCATTTGCAGAGCTCTGAACAGTATTATTTTTCATACAGTTCAGACTGCTCAGAACAATATATATAAGATTGATAAACAGAAGTTCAATGAGAATTTCAATTATCTGAATAAGATAGTCAAGTATATTGCAATGCTATATAAGTATAATTTTAACTGAAAAGTTAATCTTTCTGTGACTACTATTACTACTGTTGATAACATTGATTCTATAGTTTCAAATACAGATCTCAAGAATACAAGAATATCAAAGACTCTTTTGAACTGACACTGTAATCTCAGTCACATTCACACTGATGCTATAATTGCTATAATTAAGAATTTTCATACTGAAGTTATAATTAAAGATTCTAAGACTAAGTTCTTTTATGAGAAATGTGTCAAGACTGATATGATGTGAGATTATTTGAAAACACTGATATCTAGATCTATTCAACTCATTAAAAAGATTTATATTAATCTTGTAGATGATAAATATACATTGAAAGATCTCTCTGACTACTTCTTAGAGTTCTGTCAGAGAATTAAATACTGAATGCTTATTATCTGCAATGTGACTCACTATTATTAAGTGTATTTTTTAAAGTTCAAGAATGAGGCTGTTCAATACTTTGAGTTATAACTCAGATTTATGAATAATCTCAGATATACAGTTTCTGCTTTTCTATAAACTAATATTAATGATGTTTTCTAATTCATATATATACACACAGTTATAAATTCATATGATATCAAATGAGAATCAACAGCATTACATTTATTATATTAGAATAATGTTTCTGAACATGAGATCTGTACTATTATGAAATGAGTTAGAGCTGCTCTTTTGAAAGATAATCTCTCTAAGAAGTTCTGAACAGATGTTCTAGAGACAGTGATTATAATAACTAATAATACTCTTACATCTACAGTTCTTTACAACTTGAGATTTTAATTCTCTACTATAGAGACTTCTGTGATTTCAAGTTCATATAAGATTTCTTAATATGCACTTATGAATATCTTGCTGAATGTGAGGCATTTTCACTGATTAAGTACAGAGGTTTTTATTCACTTACATGAATCTCAGAGGCTTGTGAATAAGCTCTCTTCACATACTGATTTCTATCATATCATTGAATTCAGTGATGTATTGATATATCACCTATAACATTCTGAATCTGATAAGATTATTATCAGTAGTGATGTGAGGTTTTTAATCACTAAAAAACCAGTTATTATATCTGTGAAACTTATTAATTATATTGTTAAACTAGAATCTGATATTTATTTAATTGATAATGAAGATGCTTCTGACATTGATGATCTGAATTCTACATAATTGCAGCTCATGAAATTGCTGACTACTTATACTTCAAGTCTTATTACAGACAACCTTCTGAAGTTCTACAAGAATGTCACATCTTAGCCAGAGAAGATAGAAAATTATTAAAAGAAGTTCATACAATGCAAGATTATTAATCTGAAGAGATGCAATACATGAAGTCTGATCTCTAGATCTGATATTCTAAGAGATAAACTGATTACTTCAGATTATTAAGTGTTTCTTAAGAAAGATAGGCCTGTAAACCTGAATACTGATTCTGATAATATTCTTAGAAAATCATATTGAATAATTTATAATAACTAACTTAAGAAGAGTTTTAGAGAAGAGATCTACACTTCTGTCATCACTGATACTGTTAATTGTATTCTTTTTATAATAGCAGTACTACATGATTGAACACTCTGTCAGATAAATATAGTGATAATATATCTTTATAAGTGTCTTATCAAGAAGGTCTATATAAGACAACTCACTGAATTTGAGACAGGTTCACTGAAAACACTTATCTGCATGATTGAGAATAGTCTATACAGTCTGAACTCTGTAGTGAAGATCTGATATAATTACTTAACAGCTCTGTTAAGTGATCTTGAATTTACAGTCAGTACTTATAATTCAGTACTCTGATATTATACATTCAGACATCATCTCTATATGACAATCTATGTTGACAATCTCAACATCATATTCAAAGCTTCTGAGAATGCTAATTGACTAGTAAGTATACTCAGTGAGAAATTGAAAGTCAAGAATCTATATTAGTTAACTAAGTATTTGAGTATGAAGATCAATTGTTTGAATAAGAGAATTGATTTAATACATTGTCAATATATCAAATGTCTTGTTAAAGATTTCTATCTTGATAATACAGCTATTATCAGAATATCAATGAAGAATGAATTCTGTATTGATGATTTCTCTATATCTGAGAAAGAGACTGATTTCACAATTCAGTGATATTAACATGATGTGAGTTGCTTGCAATATCTTGCAGTTAAAACATGTTCTGATATTACTTACACTGTCTTGCTACTCACTTAATGAAATATTAATTCAACATCTCAATGTTGAAAGGCTCTATTACATGTTATATATTATTTGAAAGAGATCATAAATCTGAGCATTTTCTACAGATGCAGCTCATATAAGAAGTCTGTTTCTACTGTTTCTTCTGTTTCTATCATTTCTTCTATTTCTTTCATTTCTACTGATTTTTCTATTCCTATCAATCCTTTCATTATCTCTGATTTCCCTGATGATTTCTATCTACTCTTCAGCTACTCAGATTCTGATTGAGCCAGCCTCTTGAATAATGATAGAAAATCAATATTCAGCTATGTTTTTAAGCTCACAGACAGTCTGATTTCATGGCATTCAGTGAAGCAATCTTGTATATCTCTAAGTTTCAATGAGGCTGAATATGTGGCTCTCAGTGAGACAGTCTGCAAGGCAACATGAATCTGAAATCTCATGATTAAGCTTGACTTCATTACTACATCTTTGATACAGATTCTCACTGATAATAAGAATATCATAGATCTCACAAAGATGACAGTCATTACAGTCTGAAGCAAGCACATTGACACACATTTTCATTTTTTGTATTGACAGTTGAATCAGAGAGTCATTGATTTAGAATACATTCTCATTACTCAGATAACAGTGAATGAACTCACTAAATCTCTGAACAATGTAATATTTACATAATTCATGGTTTTGCTAGATCTTACAGGTATAAAAGTTGGGAATGTTTAATTTTACATTTGTATTTGGTTTTGACAGACTATCTTGGTGGTTTGAGTGTTTTTGTATGTGATTCTTGTTATCTCGAGGGGGGGTGTTGGCCCTTACAGCCGTTGCGGTTAGCGATCCCACTAGATCACGTGACCCACCACTATATTATGTTCCTGTAGATAGATCTATCAATACAACCTTCAACTATCCTACAGACATGACGCCGCGGGTGACTAAGCACATCTCCATCCCAGCCAAGAAAACATTTGTATGGCGGATATCAACTACGTTCCGCTTCAATTGTTGCTGAATGAGAAATACCGCATTCCTGGGTGTATATACACATAGAGAGAGAGAGTACTTTGTTTCCGCCATTTTCAACCGGGACTGTTTGGAAAAAACCTTCCAGCTATATTTTACGACCACCAACAACCCGCCCGCAACCAGAGAAATAAAATAAAATCACTACACAGCCATGACAAAACAAGTCCGTCTCCCTCTACCCTACCCCCTATAAATAACCAAACCTACCTTGACATAACAAACATGAAAGAGTTAACCCAATCTCCAATCTAGCTCTCCCCCAAAACCCTCTCCGCCCACATAAACCGCCTCATATCCCGCTGGCCCAGCGATCCCGTCCGCCCCTCCGCCGTCTCCGTACAAACATATCTAAAAACCCGTCTTCCTACCACCCCCACCCCCACCACATCTTCCTCTTCTTCTCCTTCACCACCAACAGCAACAGCGACAGCACCACAATCACAAGCGCAAGCGCAAGCGCAAGCGCAAGCGCAACAACAGCAACAGCAATCACAACTCTCCACCGCCAGCATAAACGCGCTCTACTCGCTGCTGGAAAACCGGTACGAGAAACAATACCCGCTGCCGCAAAATTTGCGGCATCCGCGCAGTGCACCGTCGCATTATGATGATGTGCTGCGGGAGTTTAGGGAGGCTCCGGGCAGGGGCTGGGTGAAGAGGATGATGGAGAAGCTTAGGGGGGTTTTGAGGTTTCAGTAGTAGAAGGGGAGGGAAGTTGTGTATGGGGATGTATGAGAGGGTTTTTTTGTCTTTTATATTTTGTGTTTCTGTACTATATGGATGATTGCATCTGCTGGTTTCCTTTTGGGCAGGGTGGTTGTTGGGTATTGTTGTATTTGTGATACCTCTGCGATGGCTTCTTTTTAGCGTGAATAAATGTATATATATATCAAGTGGCCAATAGGGCTGATGTTAGAGGGATGAAGGAGGTAGATATGAGGATATCTAGAAAAAGAACTACATTGGATTGATATATTGAATCATTATCTAGTGGGTTATGAAAATATGCGATTCTCACACTAAAATAAGAAAATGCACGCCGCCTTTTATGGATATATCCTGATGTAGTTGAAGCAAACCCATCCAAAAAATAAAAATAAAAATTAAAAAAAATAAATAAATAAATAACAAAAGAAAAAAAGTAGGACAAACAGTAAATGGATATATAAAACCCAACGAAAACAAAATAGTTAACCCACTCGTTCAACATTCAAAACCCCCATTCCCATCTCCATCTCCTACCTCCCTCCCAACTCACAGCATCGGCTTAACCTCATCCGCAACCTTAAACGGGGCCTCCGTCTTCGCACGCACCTCATCAACCGTCACGCCATCCGCAAGCTCAATCAGCGTCAGGCCGTTTGTGAAATCGACATCAAACACGCAGAGTTCGGTGATGATGCGGCTCACGCACGCCCGGCCGGTCAGCGGGAACTCGCACTGCTTGAGGATCTTAGGGTTGCCCTTCTTATCGGTGTGTTCCATGGTGACGACGACTTTGGTGGCGCTAGGGTTGGAGACGAGGTCCATGGCGCCGCCGAAGCCTTTGATTTTGCCAGGGAGCATCCCTGTTTGATATGTTAGATGGATGTGGGAAATGAGGTTATGTATAATGGATATGCTGGGGCCGGGAAGGGGAAAAAGGGCCCCTGTTGGATATTGGGGTATAGAGAGATCAAGAAAAGACAAAACGACGAGCAAAAGGACTTACAGTTGGCCAAGTCACCCTTCGCACTAACTTGCATAGCACCCAAGATCGTCAGATTAATCCGTCCAGAACGGATCATGCCAAACGACTCCTCACTACCAAAGCAAGACGCACCAGGCAGGAGCGTAACCGTCTCCTTGCCCGCGTTGATCAAATCTGCGTCCTCCATGCCCTTCTTCGGATAGGGGCCCAACCCGAGAATGCCATTCTCAGATTGCAGTTGCACCTCAATAGACGGGTCCACAAAGCTAGGAGCAAGCATGGGCATCCCAATGCCCAGGTTCGCATACATGCCATTCTTGAACTCCTTGGCGGCGCGGCGGACGATACGCTCCCGTTTACTGGCAGTGTCCCCCTTACCCAACGCAGACAAATCCGCGCCCTCGCCATCCTCCTTGGCGAAAGTGAATTTCTCAATCTTCTTCTCCGCCGTGCTCTTGATGACACGCTTAACGTAGATGCCCGGCAGGTGCACGGCGGCCGGGTCGATCTCACCGACTTCGACGATGTTCTCAGCCTCAACGATGGTCATCTTCGCATTGCGGCCCATGGCACCGTTGAAGTTTGCAGCGGCGAAGCGGAACTGGCAGTTGCCGAGTTTATCGGCCTTCCAGGCCTTGACGAACGCATAGTCTCCCTTGATGGCTTCTTCCATGACATAGCTCTTGCCATCGAAGACCTTGACGTCTCTGGGCGCACCGTAAGCGGCAACGGTGCCGTCCGCGTTGTGTTTTAGCGGTAGGTCGCCGGTTTGGACGACGGTTCCAAATGCGGCGGGGGTAAAGAAGGCCGGGATCCCAGCACCGCCGGCACGGCAACGTTCCGCCAGGGTTCCCTGGGGAGTTAATTCGAGCTCAATCTGGCCGCCAAGATACATGCGTTCGAAGGTCTTGTTCTCTCCAACGTAGCTGGCGACCATCTTCTTGATCTGTCCGCTGCCTAGGAGCAAACCCAGGCCGGCTCCGTCGACGCCGGCGTTGTTGCTGACAGCGGTTAAGCCGGTGATGGACTTGTTGGCATGTACAGCTTCGATTAAAGTATCCGGTACACCACAGAGGCCGAACCCGCCGGCAAGGAGTGTGGAATTGGATTTCATGTCCTTAATCGCCTCCGCAGCGGAGGGAAGGACTTTATTGATTTCATTTCGGCGGAGGGTGCTCGAGAAGGCACGGGCGAGGAATTGTTGGTGCTGCAAAGGGTGAAAGATGGCAAATGTTAGCCCATATGAAATTGGAAGAGGTGTCGGGCGCTGTAGCTTAAATATTCCCCGTGCTGTATCTAAGGGATGTATATATTGGGGGTTGGGAATACCTTTGAGGGGTTGGAGAAGCCCCGCGCAACCCGCAGATAGAATGACATTGTGTGTGTAAATGCCCCTCCACGCAGTTGAACACGATTAGTTCTTACTATTCCTTACTCTTCTCTACCTTCTCAATATGTTTAGCAGCAGGAAGGACGTGACACAGCAGCAGAGGAGTAAGAAGTCAAGTTGAGATGAATATTTTCTCTTTTTCTCTCTTGCAACAAGCCCCAGCCCGGCTCTGGAATCAACATAAACGGTGGACACGGAGGAGATAATAGCGGCGGACTATGGGGCCCGCGGGGAGAATTTTCGGTATATCTAGAGGACAACTAGCAAGATTCGCAGCTTGCCATAGACCCGATGGTATGGAGCACATATGCCAAACCAAGGCGCGGAGAGCAAAGCCGAAGCAAACTAGCACGGCGTGAGCAGCAGCGGCGGGCGGCAACAACGAAAGATAATAACAACGCGCGGGGTAATCTGTCTTCTGGAGGTTACACGTTGGATAAACGATTTTAATTATCCCTTCCCCTCCACGGCGAAGCAGATGAATAACGGCGTCTGTGGTAACGGCTCTGCGGGCGGGAGGCGGGCACTCGGAAGCGGAAGAAGCTCTTACATGTTAAACTACGGAGTAAAGTTAGTTAACAATAAATAACTAGTTAATGGCTGGCGTCGGCAAAGAGCTTAGCCGAGTCCGAGAATTGCCGCGCCGAACAAACAGCTGGAGAGAAAAACACCGGAAGAAACAGAAGAAACACCGGTCCATTGTTAAGAATATTTAATATTATCCTCACACACAAGAAAGAGAGAGGGTTTCGGAATATATACAAAGGAAGGAGATGTTGACTGATATTTCTGACTCCTAGTTGGCCAACTAACTTAACTAGTTATAAACTATATCATGCTGGGAAAAAACGATGGAGCTGTAGACCATTCCACCCACATACTCATTTGATAGATATCTAGATACCTCTCAGGCTGCGTTTTGTTGTTTAGGTCACCTTTTTATTAATTCTTTTTATTTGATTTTTTTTCAATTTATTATCAAGCCTGCAATGTGGATGGCGACTTTCCATGTAAGATGATGACACAAGATTCAAAAAAGGAGCTTCGCCGCGGATAAACCTGAAAATAAAATACTCCTTTTTCGCATTTGTGAAATGATAAGATGCCTCGTGAACTCTCTTCTAGGAATTGCCTGGGTAGGTAGGATAGATAGTTCATGTTGATGTGAAAAATTTCTATGGTACTGTCTTTGATTTGATACAACAAGCTCCTCTCTAATGGATGAAAGAACAATCAATGCAGCGCAACAAAAGGGCCCCAAAGGGCGTAAAAGAGCCTTTGGGAGAAAGAGGCTGAAGGGACGAACTACTACTGATGCTGAAACTGAAAACGGTAGCATTGTTGCTGATACGCCGGCGTGAAAATCTTTATCATTAGATCGCATGGAAAAAGATCGAAAAGGGGTCAAAGACATCATACACGCGCACCCATGGAGATATCGTTTAAGCAGAAACGGAAGGAAAGGGATCTCAAAAACCGAAATCAATATCCATCCAACCCCAGACACGCGCGCCCGCATTCCCGAAGTTCCCGTTAACATAGTCTTAAAAGTAAAAAAGGAACATTTTCACCGTACAGACAGCAAGGAAAATGCGAAGCGAAATAAAATGATGCGAGGGCAAGCAAAATGAAAAAAAGCGCCAATCAACCGAGATAAATAAAATAAGGGCTCCGTGAGGAGAAATAAAAAAGCAGAAGGCCTACGGTCTTAAATAGAAATGTGATGGGAGGAACGTCAAGAAAAGAAAAATTGATGCTGGGTGGAAGAGAGGAGAGAAATAGAAGGGAAGTCAAAAGGATCCAATAATTATGACATCACATCAACACTCAAGTTAGAAAAAAAAAAAAAAAAAAAAAAAAAAAAAAAAAAAAAAAAAAAAAAAAAAAAACCAGCCATTAAACATGAGTTAACCTCTATTGGAGTGATGGAGGGCGCCGCGACTAACCTGCCGCTTTGGGACCGAGGGTGCCTGGAGGCTCATCATCAGTGCGAGTTTCCCCCTCAACTTTCCGTTTGAGGCGGTTGCGGGGTGGAGAGGGAGATACAGCAGCTTCAGCTTCCGTCGTGACCACTGCTCCTACCACGACACAGACGGGATGTTAGCAAACTTCTTATTCCACTTCCCCTTGAGAGTGGTGGCGGCGGTAGTCGCGGCGGCGGCGGCATTAGCAACAGTAGTGGAAGGTGTGTTTTTAGTAGTCTTTTTGCCATTACCATTGCCATCCACCGTCCCGTTTTTGCCATTGGCAATATCCATACCTGCAGGTACATTCTCTATTTCATTGTATGCAGGGGGGTCTTCCATCTCTGTATCGCCGCTGGGAGGAGTGCGTGTTTGCGACGGTCCGGACCCATTCGCTTGCTGACCACGCAGGACGGTAGATGGTGCTGGTGCTGGCGCCTGTGCCGGTATTGGTGGGGCTTCGGGAGGGCTGACGTCCTCGATTTCGCGATTGACTGGCTTCACAAGACGGTCTTTCATGTGCTCGTTGACGTACACGAGGAAGTAAGGGGTGGGCGGATTTGTTAAATTTTGGCTTTCGAATATCTCCGACTTGCTATGGACTTCGGTCACCTCGCTGTCGTTGTATTTTCGCCATATATTCTTGTCATAGTCGAAAATATAGATGTAATAATGACCAAACTCAACAGAGCCATGATGCACGAAGACGGCATATAACCGATAGGGGAGATGTCGAAGATCGGTGAATTGAGAGTCAAGCAATGCAACTAAATCCCTCTCTCGTGCTTCGAGGCCTGCCCTTGCGTATTAGTGGACCGCAACTTTTGGAAGGTATTAACAGACATAGGTGCGTTGACATACATTTAATTTCATCCCTGGCCATTTCCTCAACGGCTGTAAGACGAGATAAAATACCATCATCGAGTTCCAGTGCTTCATCTGCCATATCGGGTTCGTCTTCGATAGCCATTAGGCTTTGAATGTATGCTTTTGTCTCTGTGAAGACATCTGGTAAACAGGCCCAACTCTACTCAAGGATACGATGGTCAGCTTTACGACCGCGGGGAGTAGCGGAGAAGAGAAGAATTTATACCTCTGTATCAATAAGCTCAGCTTTGCGCGCTCTCAGTTTGCGGAGTTCATCCTTCCACCGCCAGCATTCACGGCGCCTTTCATCTAGATTATGCTTATTACTGTCCATATACCTGTCCAAGTATATAGTTTCCTTCAACTCCAGGTGATGAGTTGACTTAAACGATGACTTCTTGACTTGATCAAACTGAACGCGTTGGACTTGAATCTGGAGAACTGGGGGCAACTTGCTAATGGCACCGTATTGTTCCACCTCAGCGCCGTCGACCTCTACCTTTTGGACGTCAAATGCGCCGTCGATTGCAGAATAGATGTCCTTCGATCCGCTAGCAACATCGACCTTGATGTCAGACCAAGACTCTTCCTTGGACCGAACTCCGTTTTCTGCGGCAATGTAGGACACAGTCTTGCCATAAAATAAACTTCGACTATGTGTCAGCGTTGAAACCACGAGATTATCATTATCGTTAAGGTTGCATGCATATCGAAAACTTACTCTGTGACAACATCGAGCTGCTCTCCATCTTGGTCGAACCTGATAGGTTTGACGGCGCATTGAGTTTGAAAAAGAACATTGTTTATAACCTCTGTGACATCCTGCTGTGCCCCAAGCTCAACCTCTTCTCTGAGTTGCTGCTGGTAATCTAAGGGTGCCGGCCGTAGAGGCGTTGGCCGAGGAGGAACGGGAGGGGGTCTATTCGGAGGGCCAATGGGCGCCAACGCCTGCATAGAATCGCCTGTAGTTAAACATAGAAAGTAAGCCATCAGACCTCAAACTGATGGAGCCCGGACTCGGTTACGATGTTTGTATAACGTACCTGTACCGGCTCCCACCCCGTTCGAATCGTCTACTTCTTTCATCTCAACGGTAATCTCCTGAGGGGCGGGCCCGATATTCTCCTTATTGTTTACCTGCGATTCCTCATTATCTGCTTGCGCGGTTAATGAAACAAGCGTTATATCACTGTCCGCATCACTGCGCTCAAGTGTCTTGTTACTCGCATCCACCGCCGCCGCATCTTTTGATACCTCTGCAATGGTCGCAGTTGGAGGCCCTAATGGTCCTAAAACTGGCATGCCATTTATCTCACCAAGGCTGGGGCGACTGCTCGAGATCAATGATTTCCTCCGGATGGCCGCTTCGTTTGAAGAACTAATTAAAGTTAATCTAGCTAGCTCCTGCTCAGGCATAACGGAGGAAGTAGGAGATGTAATCATCTTTTTAAACAATGATTGGAGCTCCACGAGAACTAGTAAAATTTATCGATTAGTTATCCTTAATCCAATAAGGGCCGAATTGTGTAAAACTCACATTTTTGGGACCTCTCGATCTCAACAACCGAGACTTTTCGGGATCCAATCTTTTTCCTATCGAGGCTCCTCTCGTCCAGAGGCATCTTATAGTCATCAAAATGAATAACCATCTTACGGAAAGGAGTCACGGTGAAGTAAAATTGAAGCAAACTGTTTAAGTAGCAGGTATTGCCGATGTTTTGGAGCCCGACAGGCCATTCTTTGAGCACGCGATTTGCCAGTGTCGCATTTTGACCGAGGGTGCTGCTGATCATCGCACTCCCTTTGTCTCTCCCAATGACATCAAGAGCTCGTCTATATGTTTCAATTTGGCCTGGAGCTTCTGAACAACAAACGGAGAATGCGGCGAGAATCGCAGCATCATCCACGGTCCGGTCAGGTATTTGAAGAAGACGGAAAGCTTCTCCAACATCCATTTCTGCAGCTGCTGCTTCACCAGTATTTAAAAAGTATTTCAGGGAGTTGGAGTCACGCGCCTCAGCAATCAAAGCAACAGCCTTCCTAGCTAGTTCTTTCGTAGCGGGCTGATCGTTAACCTAATTTGGAGAGTAAGTATTTGGAATATTTCAAAGGGGCAGCACGAGAAGGGCGAAAACTACCTTTGCAGCATACATGGAAACAATGAAATCATCAGAGGTATCACTTTCTACTCCAAGGTACAACAGCGCCTGTTCCACAGTAGAAACACCTATAAACCTGTTAGTTCCGGAATCGCTCTACTGACTCTTCATGAGACATACGCTCTTCTGCTACCGATTTTATCTTCTCACTCCCACGGCTGTCTCCAATCCTCCAAAGCTGTCGTCTTGTTTCCGTGTCGTTAGCAGTATCGCGAAGACGAGCAAAGAAAGAGACAATGATGTCATCATCCGTCAAATTCCGATTTCGATAATCAAGTTGAAAGTACTTGTACGCGCGGGGAATATCATCGTCAGCGTATCGAGAACCACTACATTCCAGCGCTACCAGGTCGTTGATTTTTCCTCCATCTGACGCGCTTCTCCACTCGCCAATATATCGTAAACATCTGAGATAATAAGGGCCTTGTCTAGGATCAGTTTCAATCTGCCGATTATACGCCTCTATAATGAGATCCGTGGACATGTCCTCAGTCGCCCCAAGATCCTCGTAATATCTGAACATTTAGTTAGCGAAAAACCAATTGGTTCCTGAACATTACACTATCACTCAAAAGGAAAAGGAAAAGACAAAGAAATATAGACTTACGGAGCCCTTCTTACTTCCTCGTTAACTGGATTCAGAAAGAATGTTCTGTCGTCTACTAATAGGTAAGTATTTTGAATCATAGCATATGGTGAGAGAGACTAACAGTTCGATGAACCAAGGAGTTGGTTGAACTTGCTAATGGCAGGGTCGAGAGGGATTCCCGGTGGTTGGCCTTCTTTCTCATGAGCGGGCCTTCGGTGGATTAAAGCTGAGAGCTCATTTGACACGTTATCAAGAAAGATATTAAGAGGATTTCCATACGGGACGTGGTCGGATGTGTCTGGGCACGGAGGATCCCAACTGTCTTCCTATGCAAGCCCAATGAGTCAACAGGAGATGAGATTTTCACAACGATTCAGATAAATGTTTTGTAAGATACACATACCCTCGCATGAAATTCTAAGAATTCCAGAAGCTCATGGCAAGGCCGACCATCCACACCAAAACAAACAACGAACCGCTTATTCGACATGGAAATTGATTTGCTTCTCTGGCTATCATGCAGGGCATTATCGATGTAGGTGCGCAGGTTCGTCAACACAGTAATGGGAAATGGTCGACTATGACCCTCTAGTCTCTCTGGATACGTCTCCATAGCTTCATCGGTCCTGGCCTTTAGCAGCTCCTTGTTTGTCAAGATGTTCACCCAGTGCGGTGTCAAAACCGGGGATAGTAACTTCAGGGAAATAACAGCAGCGCATGTCGAATATGAACAACGAAAGTAATGAGTTTCTAATCGTTGACCCTTCTCCCAAAAAGGGTTTGAAACTTGGCGACCGTCGCTGTGCGAGTAAACAATGTGATGTAGCTGGCTAGGACAGTGGGACGCTTCTGTTGTATGCACCATCTTGATCTCTAAATGATAGCGGCATATCAAGCACATCGCGGACACCTTGTACGGAGTCCTTAGTCCAGCCTGGAAACCTTTAGGAGGAAGCTCAGTTTGGTTGGCTTTTGTTATATATTGGTGGGGGCAGGCCTTTGGTGAGATGAGTTCCGGGTAGTCATCGGGATCGTGGAAGGGAGGTGGGAATTGTGTCAAGAGGTTGAAGGATGAGCTGGGAGGATTTGCAGGATCGAAAGAGAGGACATCTTGGATAAAGCGGGGAGTGGTTTTCCCTAGACAGATAGCCATAGTTCATCAACGGTTAACAGAGACGGCGGATCAAGAGGAATCACGAAGCAGGAAAACAACGAGCTTCAAACGTTGATAGCCATACCAGGTCCCGGGGAAACAGCCATGTGTGACATTAGAGATAAGATTCCCAGCAAATCTAATAGAAGTGTTGCGCGAAGATAGCGTCGTAGCTGTATCAAGCAAACGACGCTACTAGAAGCTCCGCAAATGCGCTCAGGACGTAGAGCATCGAAGAATCATCGGAACTAAGATTCGCCCAGAGATCGGAAAAGAACAAATGAGCTTCTAGCAACTAGGCTTTACCGCTATTAAACGAGGTTTGTTCCAACGGTAGAGAGCAGTTTGGATGGAGCCTCCTGAGTGAGCGAATCGAATGATGCAATGCGTTGAAGAAGACGTATCTATTCAGGCTGCTGGTTGACGTAGTGGGGTAACTAAGCTAAAGAGAAAAAACGACGAAAGTAGGAAGGAAAGAAGAATATGCGCTGTGCTGAGCTCTTGTCTGTCTACCAGACATTCACCCGCTGGGGTATATATTCAAAGATAAGGTGGCTCCAGCAACTCCGTTGAGGTGTTTTGAATAGTTGAAGTTGTAGTTGTACGGAGTACATCGTTCGTCGTCTGCGGAAGCTCCCAAGACGTTTTGCCAAGACCCGGCCATCGGCCATCCATGTTCCTTCAAATCACAACCCCAAGACTCTTGAACGACCGTATTGCTTCACGCGCACACCACACTCCAACACTCCCCCGCAACAGCACAGCTTTGTGTCCTGTTTCTCTTCCTCTGCCGAAGCAGTCATGTCTTCCCCAGCCGAAGAGGAAAGCTATCACCCACAAGATGCCATTGCTGCCACCATCAAGACAACGCTGACGACCGGGGCCGTTGGTCTTTTCGCCTCGTCCGTCCAGAACACCCTGCAAAAACGAAACTACGGCCCCTGGGGTGTCGTCACAAAAACAGGCGGCACAATTGCTTTATTTGGTACGATTGATCGCTTCAATGGCAATGGATGGATGAAGCGGATTTTTTTGGAAGGGCGTGCTAATCATAGTTTATTTGGTGTTTTGTAGCCTCTGTCGGCGGTGCGTATCAGTTCGCGAGAATAGCAGCGGCTAACCTAAGGGAGAAAGACGACCACTGGAATGCTGCATGGGGAGGGTTTTTCGGTGGAGCAGCTATCGGATTGCGCGGTTTGTCTAGTCCTCGCTTTTTCCGTGTCACGTCCTCCAGAGTTCGCGGACCGACTAGACCACTAACAACATATATTTATTCGTTGCAGCCCGAACGTTCCCCGCGGTTATTGGTTACGGCGTGGTTGTGGCCACTGCACTTAGTGTATTCGAATATACCGGAGGAAGTCTTGCAGGCAAGGGACATGCTAATGAGGAGGATGAGTTTGAGAGGCGGGAAAAGCTCCGGAAGAACTTCCGTTCCCCGATTGAGGAGACAGTTGCCCAGCTCGGGGAAGGTAGAGGTATGCAAACCATCATCTTGAGCCATCCGCGGACTAAGTCTCCATTTCTGCGATGACATGGGTGCTAACCATAAATGAATATATAGGCATCCGCGGCGAGAACTACGAGGAACGAAGACGGCAGAGGCTGAAGGAGAACTACGGCATTGACGTGCCTGCCACAGCACAACCCGCCAGAGCATAAAAAAAAATAAAAAATACTTGCATATACATTTTCCTAGTCATATATTAGCCCTCACTTCCTTTTCCAGTCTTCTATGTCCCTTTTTTTTCCTGTAGTATATATTGTTGTCTCAGGACCCAAATTCACTAGAACTTTGTCTCGTCCACCTTTTTTTTCCCATATTAGCACACAACCTCCGATGTTATACCCCAAGCCCCCACCCTTCCCTCTTTTGCCATGCATTGAATAATGCGGACAGGATGAAGCCTGGCAGACTTTGTCCGGTCTCGTCTCCCTCTCGACCCTTCGTTCATCGACGAAGAATATGTTTTATTGTATCGATCGAGCAGAGAAATAAAAAGTTTGCGATATTCGTCCACAGCGCCAATTGAGATACACCGCACACGCACGCGTAAGAGGGGAGAGGGCTTGTCATGAATTTTTTTGCAGGCAGAACCTTTCTTCCCTAATGGAGCTCTTTTATAATTACGGTCCGGACTTTTTGTCCAATCATCTACAACTTATGAAATGTGATTACATGGAGCAGTATAGTCTAGCTTATGGGGATCAATGGTGGTGACTGCAATGATATACTCTTATTATTGAATACCCTCCCATTTCCTCAAGCAAGATATCATCACATGACACGAGCACGAGAGCCTTCAGCCACACTTGATGCCAACCTCCGTTCAAAGGTGAGGCGTGACGTATAAATGAGGCTGTGGCGACGCCTTGGGGCGGAGACACGCATTGATTTGTGCTGTGTACTCCGTATACATAATAATATAATTTGTACATGTACATACGCGGCGTACACATCTTAACATCTTACTACAGCCAGGGACCCCGTTTGGCACGTTTCCCTAGCGGTGTAGCATCATCTTAAATTCCTGCCTAGAGCTTCTACGAACCCAAATATCTTCGGTCGGTAATCCGTAGTTCACCTTGAGATGTTGCTTGGTGTAAACAAAGGCGGGATCTTCCTGTTGCTGTACATGTACTGTACATATATCTTCATTCCATTCCATAAAACGTGGCAAATGGTGCTGGTAATAGAGAATAATTCGCCTTCTTTGCATCATATCGCCATCCTTGGGGGAACTCAATTCGTGGTTTTGTTCAAACCTGTGAAGTACCGCGGGGGTACCAGGCCATCCTTCCCAGCGCCAAGCCTGGCCGGGAGCCTGTGCGTGGATACCTATTAATACTCAGTACGAACGTTCCCTCCTCCTGTCCCCAGTTCTGCCCAACCTGCTCGACGTCATCCCCATTGTTTTCCCGCCGAAGCCCATGCCTCAAGGCCGGACTTCTTACAGAGATAATTCTCTAACCTTTTCCTGTCCCCGTCCTCTTGACGCCCACATCGTGCATTCATGCCATTATTTATCCGACTCCTAGCTATCCTTCCTGCTCTTCTTATATTCAACTTATAGCGTTGCGGATACTGTGAGCGGCAACTGTGGATAGAAGATTCACTAGTACTACTATACAGACCTCGTCGCTTTGTGCCTAGGAGGTGGGGGAACAAAGGACAATATAAAACAATACATAACTGCTATAGCTTCAACAAGCACATCGTCCCGGCCCCATGGCCGCCCGACCCCGAACCCCGTTGCACGATGAGTATACAACGGCCCCGAACTCTACGGAACCCTCCCATGCGAATCAGGTAAACGGCACTGCCTCTCGTCTGACCTCCTACATGGCCACCCCGAGTTCGATCGTGCCCTCGGATTTCCAGGTCCGGGGAGTGCCAGTCCAAAATTCGACACAAACACCTCAAGTATCTCGATTCCACGAAGATATGTCCAGTCGGCGTGGATCGTCTGTTATCGACGGCGCTCCCCCTACCACGAATAACCTACACCGCTCCGACTCGCAGATGTCAGCTGCACAATCGCTTTTGCCATCTCGAGCGTCGGGGACTTTAAAAAAGAAGCCATCGTTGAGTAAGAAGGGGAGTTTACGACGGGGTGGAAGCAGGAGAAGTAGTCGTGCAGGGAGTGTGAGGAGTATGGCTCTCGGTGAGAAAGAGAAGTACGGGATGGTGGATGGTGATGAGGTCAACAGTGCCTTTTATGTCCCTATACCTACTTCGGGGAGTCCGACGGATGTTTTGGCTGCGAGATTCCAAGGTAAGCAACTATCAGTGATGCCCCTGAAGGATACATACAAACGTATATGGGGCCTTCGTTTTTTAAGATGAATTTAGCTGAACTAACTCTGCAACAACAGCCTGGCGCAAAGTGTTGAAGGATTTAATAATGGTTTTCCGGGAAATCCAAAAATCATACGAAATTCGATCAAAGACTCTTCTCTCAGTCTCGAATTCGATGAACAATGTCGTTTTCCCAGCCACGTTTCTTGCAACAGGTGGGATTTCGGATGCTACCAAAATACTAAAAGAATATCATAGACAGGCAGTGGTAGAATCGGCAAAAGCGAGGGACGTCGAATTGGAAGTCATTAAGCAACTGACCGGTCTCAGGTCAGATCTGCAACAGAAAATCAAAGAGATTAAGAGCCTCTCGGGTGATTTTAGGAATTCAGTCGACAAGGAGTTGGAAGGCACTCGGAAAGCAGTGAGGAATTTACAGGAAGCTCTTGGACTGGTGGATACTGACCCAGCGGCTACCTCGGGAAAAGGAGACCCTTTCCTTGTGAAATGTGCGGTACATAGACAGCTTGAAAAGCAGATTGATGAAGAAAATTATCTACATCGCGTAAGTAGCTTATCCCTATTCCCCAGCCACTTTTAACTCCTAGATCCCATCCCCACTGACCCTTTTTCTGCAAAGGCATTCCTGAACCTGGAAAACTCAGGCCGTGAGCTTGAACGCATTGTTGTCACGGAAATCCAGAAAACGTACAATATATATGCAAATATCCTGAAGCGCGATGCAGATGCGGCGTACGACGCGGCGGGGCAGCTCATTGAAGGCCCAATAAGTGTTCCCCAAGATCACGAGTGGGATTCCTTTGTATCTCACAACGATCATCTGGTCGATCCGCTATTGCCGATACGGGATTTTCAACATATAAATTATCCTGGAAAGAACCATCCTGCAGCGGCCGAAGTGCGCGCTGGCATGCTTGAGCGCAAGAGCAAGTATTTGAAGAGCTATACGCCTGGCTGGTATGTTCTATGCCAAAATAATAGTCTTGTTTTTTCGATTGATATCACTTCGATTTAGTAAACTGACTAGATATAGGTATGTGTTGTCGCCTACACATTTGCACGAGTACAAGTCGGCGGATCGAATCGAGTATCAAAATCCCGTCATGTCGCTATATCTACCAGAACAAAAGTTAGGCTCTCACTCGCAAAGTGGCTCTGCATCCCACAAGTTCATGTTAAAAGGACGGCAAACGGGTTCGATGCATCGCGGCCATTCATGGGTATTTCGAGCAGAATCTCACGATACCATGCTCGAATGGTACAACGACATCAAAAACCTGGCCCAAAAAACCGGCGAGGATCGCAATGCTTTCGTGCGCAAACATTCGCGCCAACTAAGTGGTGGACTTTACCGTGCGGGATCTATCAGCAGCAGTGAAGGAGTCATGGATGAGGACGAAGCAGACGAAACGCCATACTCTGCGGACCATGTGATTGTAAATCAGGCACCGCCGGTGGTGGAAACGCAGTGGCAGCAGCGCCCTCAACCAGGTGGGCGATTTCCAAGTGATATCCACCTCCACCGAAATTCACAAGCGACTTACGCCTCATCTAGAGAAAGTTCTGGAAACCCTGACTCACTAGCGCCCGCCGATACCAAGAACCATCCAACTGGCCTCCCAGACGGGGTCCATGATGATGCTGTCGAACCGAGCCATTCCGGCGTAGTCGAACTGCAAGATCATAGCTACGTAGATTGGATGGATCCCGCACCGGCTACAGCTGCGATTTCGTCACCTCAGAAACATACCTACCCATTATTATTACGAACATCCTCGAAGCCCGATACCTCGATCGGTTCACCGGAACGGACAATTTCCCCCGCTAACGCTTTCGGTGACGGCAAAACAGAAGCCATATCGTCTTCCCACGGCCTGGCAGATAAAGGAACCAGCCTAGGAACCAGCCTAGGCGGAACCACGGTCTCGTCGGCTACGAGCAACATACCTTACTCCAGCGGTGCATTGGAAAAAGATGCGACGACGCCCTTAACAACCCCGGCAGCCACTGAAGCCGGCTCCCCAAAAACCATGAAATCAAATTTTGACCGAAGCCGCGAGCTACCCTCGATAGTTAGCGATTTTAAATTGCCTGGCCAGTATCCAACTCCAAGTGGTTGAAATTTTTGTTTTGAAGAAGCGATGCCGGAGTACCTATATATATATCCCATTTTATCCCATTTCCTAACCTGAAAACTCAATTGATTCCTTGGGTACTACTGTCGAAGAAGGAATTTTCCTCGTTCTTCGCTTTTTTTTCGTCGTTTTATCAATTACATCATCCCCACCATCGACAGTCCCCACTTTTTCCCCCGGAATTATTGCATCATTCGTTACCCTATGTGCCTCCTACATGAAATGCATATACATTCATTCTATGGTTTTGCACATTTTCATGGTCCCTTGAGTTCGACCATATACCACCACTTCAAAGCCCTCCAAAGAGCTCTATTTATTTCCTGGGAATTGAAGCCCCCGATTTGCCTTCCCACTAGCCTTCTCGTGTCTTCCACGTTTTTTCTTTTTTATATTCTTATTTCACCCTTTCCAACAACCTTTCTTTTGTTTTTTATTCTTACTATCATCTTCTTCATACCCTTCTTCTTTCTCTTTCTCAAGCATAGGAGCTGGGGGCGTTTATACTTCTACGTGAATACTTTCTTTTCCTCTCTTTTTCCTTTGGATTTTAAACTTTACTCATATTTAAATATACGTTGGGTCTTTTTATTCTCGAAGTTTTTTGGAATTCTCGCACCCTCTTGGAACTGGCTTTGTCTCTTTGGATACTACTGCACCATCAGCGCCTATGTGTATGTACCTTTAGGAAGTAATATCAGCTCAGAACTTCATCTATCTTATGAAAATCTGTTTCTGAAATAAAGACATAGTCTGTCAGCACTCATTCTCTTCTTTTGTTTCATTAATACGTACACTGTCTTCAGACAAATATATGTCATAGTATTTCACTCAACTGACTCACTGACTAATAGTGACTCTGAATCTGTAGCTGAGAAATCACTTACCAAGCAAGTAGGCTGTCGGAAATATGTGCTTGTCTTGACTATAGATTTGTTCTTGTCTCTACCATATACAAGCACTATAAGTGCCTCGACTCTTTGAATTGGTTCCTCCCGGCTTAACCCCTGCATGAAATACCCGCTGAGCTAGGAAGTTTTTCCCATTGCTGGGGGACCGTCTTAAATACCTCATGACCACAACAGTTCCATTCTATTGGATGTCTGAGAGTGGTTGATATTGATGATTCTATCTACTCTGTAGTAGAGGGCTATATACAGTGTGCAGGGCGCTAGTCTGTAACTACTAGGAAGCCTAGGGCTCTCACACCCCGCGTTAAAAGATAGCCAGTGTTGCACCCAGATTTGATATCATGGTTCCTGGCGTCTCGCCGACGCCTCAATATCCCGCTTCTTTTTGAGCCAATATAAAAGCATCCAAAATCCTCTCGGGTTCAGCAGTTAGATTAACGGAAAATAATTTATATGCTCAACAGCTTTCTACCGGACTTCTTTATGCAAGTTTTACCCTTTCATCTAGTCTCTATTTGATCTACCTCGATGCGTCAGGCCTACGAACTCTCCAACTTTCGATAGTGGGCGATTCTTACTATGTCTTCGACTACTGAGCTATATGTTGCCATTTTCGACGATGGTGGTGTATATAAGCACTGGGGTCTCTTCATCGACGGGCCAACGGATGCGGAAAATATCCTCCTCCAGATCCTGGGTTCCTACCAGATATCGTTTCGAGATGGAAATCTCGAACGCTCATAAATCGGCGACTCTCTTGGAGACCATCCACCTGTGTGACGTGGACAATTCCAAAATTAGCGCGATTAAGGACGCTGCGGAAAATGCGGTTATCCACAACGAATATCCGGGTTATAACTGTCAGGACTATGTCCTTGAGCTTCTGGATGTCTTGGAGGAGAAGAATATTATCGACAAGAACGAGACCAATTACAAGCATAACAAGCGGGTCGTTCAAGGCAAGCAGGAGGGATTGATGTAGATGAAAAAGTCAAACTGAATATCATTGAAGCGTTGACCACCGATTTGTTAACTACCATACTCATACTAGTTTATTTGCTTGATTTCCTTTCTCTGAATGGTGGAGATTATGGCCTGTCTGTTACATCTATTCATTTCTAAGCCTGTATCCTGGACATTCGCGATATTTTTAGGCGCAGTACAGTGATAAGCTGTACTACAGGCATCTTACAAGAAGAATTGGATATCTGCTTTCCTAGCATTAAATGGGTATTTCATACACAAAAGGGAATCTTCAGCGTTCAATTTTGGTTTGGGGCCATGTGGTTCTGAGATTGATCCCCCAAACTCGATCAACCAGCCAACGTACGGGAAACTGTGATGGGGATATGCTCTCCGGTAAATGCAGAGAGTAAATTAACCTCCAGCCCCCTCCTGAGGTCATCATGAAGCTCGTCTGGTGCTTGAAGGTTGATTCTCGCAGCAAGATAGCTGAGGACACTGAGAATTTCGATGCTCACGATGAAGAATCAATGGAACAGTGATATTAGATCCACCGCAGGATTCTTTTCCAAGGCGGTCTTGAATTGCATCAAAATTTCTCTGTTCCATTGTGCTGCTTCACCAAAGCGTCAAGCCTCGTGGAACGTCTTCTGTTTTGTACGTGGTGGAGTTGGGCGAGCAGAGGAAGTAGCCGCGATATCATCGGACTTCTCATACTTGGATGCATATAAAAGATAAAACGGGAGAGGTTAACTGTCGGAATCCAGCCCATGCCGCCGATAAAGAGTGCCAGAGGACGAGAACATATAGAACAGGGTAATAGAGATACCAGCGTTCTCCATGCATCCAGAGGTCACATTGTTGAGCCACTGAGGCCCTCGGATTTGTGAAATTGAATGTTGAGGGTCCGGAGTACTCTCCAAATTATAACTCAACTCCACTCGATTCTGAGCTTATATAGTTTGCTTTGTTATTTTTTTTATTGACGACTTCACTTAAATCATTTATAAAAATGAGTAATACTTACTTAAATTGAAATAAAAATAGTTGTACTAATAGTAGAATACAGTGTAGAAATAAAAATAATATTGGTTGAACAAACTTAGCCAATAGTTGGGCGATTTTATACGTGAAGTACCAAGGGATTGATAGAACGTATTTCACCTCCTATTTAAAGGTAGGATACCAGGCCCGTAATATAATGGGCGAAAATAGACACCTGGCATCTCGAGGCATACGGGCTCCTATAGTGGAATGCCTTAATTCAGCAGTGATTCAACACTCGAGGAAACTCTCCCGCCACCCAAAATCACCACCAGGAAGAAGGGAACCGCTTAGTACATACATCACGTCTCGCCACTTTTACGTCTATCCAAAAGCAAAAAAAGGTCTCTTGCGAGCTTATGCACTATTCATGTGGCTGTCTATGCAATGTAATAATAATCTATGTATCTATAGTACCCATACAACATCCCTTGTGTTATACGATTTCCGCAGTTCGAACGCGCGACAAGGGGCCGATAGTTGTATTTGCTGAGGGTAGCGCAGTTGTAATTGCGCCGCCATCCTTGGTGGAACTTGAATCCGTAAGATTCCGTTCGCTCGGGAGGATGATCTGCATCGAATTTGAAAGTGAAGAGAGAAAATGAAATTAATATAGAGTTCATTTCTGTTTGCTAGAAAGAGAAATGGAAAGCGGAAAGGTGGTAAGGGATGAGAAGCGAGATGAGTGTTTATGAGGAACATATGGTAGGGTAGGATACGAGGGTGGAAATTAACCGGGGGGAAACAAGTACGAACCGCTCGATCAAGTTCATATGGCAATCCGCGGTGTCGACCACGAAGCATCAAGGCGCAGATGACTAATTTTCCTAACACGCTGAATTTGGTAGTCAGGCCACTGCTGATAGACGGGTGACTCAGGCTCAGACCGACGTTTCCGCTGTAGTTATGGGTTGGTGGTTAGATAATGACTGAAGTTATACACAAGGAAAGGGATGCGAAAGAAATAGAAAAGCAGATACAGCATAGCCTCGAAACTAGATCAGAAGTTGTGGAAGGCACTTACTATGCTGAGACAGCTTCAAAAAACACAGAGAAGATTGCGAATTCCTATTCCCTTTGAGTTATTATATTTCGTTCAACGGGTTGGGACAAGCAAATAGGAAAAGTTTAAAAGTTAAATAATCGTACCGGATCCGATTTATCGGCTAGCTTCGACCCTTCGGTGATCATGAGAATGAACATTCCGAAGAAGACATACCACAAGTCGAATGCGAGTTGCTTTTTCATATGTGCACCCACATAGGAGGCAGTGCTATTTGACTCGTCGATTTCGTCACTTTGTGGATCGTAGAGACCCAGGGAGTTCTCTTCATATGTATTCGTTCTGTCAAGGGTAGTTGGGTTAGGTATTAGCAGGGGCTGCTTTAAAGAGAGGGAGCCAGTTGTGCAGAGTTTCGGGATCAATTTCCTACTTTCGTACGCTAATAGCGATTGGGAAAACGGAGATGTACATCATCACTGGAAATTAAATCATTCCGTTAGCGAGTCAAACTTTGACAAATAATTATAGCAATTTCTTTTTCTCTTTGAACGTACCCATGAGCATGAACTGTACAGCCGGATGCACCTTAGCGACATTGAAAGTACTTGTCCCCGTCGTACGCGCCGACGCTGCCTGAAAAAGCGCAGCCAAGAAACGATTCCATGAAGACGGAACGGCCAGAACTTCCTCATTTTGCAGATCTAGGACGAGGAACAGCAGGACGTCGATAAAGTTCAGAAATACCAAGCTGAAGAATAACATCCAAGTAGGGCTAGAGGGAAAAAGCAGCGTGTAACATCGACGAGGATGATCGAGCAGGAAATTCAGTGGCTCTCGGATTGCAGAATCTCGAGGTGATATCTTGAACATGATCCAGATAATGAGGCGTAACATGCAAGGGTAGCCTGTGTTGCCAATGTAAATTAGGAATGTCATGATGAAGATGGGGAAGGTTGCGTTGCGGAAACTAATCATGGAGTCGGGCGTAAGGGTGAATCCAAGATTGTTGTAAGCGGTCATGCTGGAGAAAATCGCCCTAGACGCCACCCAAATAAGCAGATGAATCGACTCTGGTATTTTAATCCCTTTGGGCTTTCTCATCCCAGGAGCAAAAAACAGGCGCTTACCACCAAGTTGGGTTCTGGCCTACAGATCGAACATAGTCACTGTACTTCCGGTCCGAATTGTGAATCCAGCCAATAAGACAAATAACGCCGAATATATGCCAAAACACGTAGTAACCTATTTTGTTTAAAAGATGAAAGATGTTAGCGTCTTCTCTAGAAGGAGATAAAGGGAGAGGCCCATACAGAACACAATCTTTGCTAAAAGCTTCAAACTACGATACTCAATCCCTCCCAGCTCATCCCTCTGTTCATCAGTCAAGTCCAAGAATTTCGAGTTACGCCCGATCGTCGGTTGGTACGACAGATATGGCATGTCTAAGAGGGCCCGTTCAGACTTCGAGGACGATCGATTTAGTGGGTTTGAAGATCTCGACCGAGAACGTTTCCGCGAGCTATTGCCGAGAATAAATGCATTTGAAGCAGCTCTTTCGACTGAGGCCGCATGGGAAAGCAGCCTACCCATGGTGGGCAGCCGTCGACGTTCGGTTTCCCCTGAGGGCCCTGCCGATAGAGATTCTTCGATGGTTATACTTTTCATAAGGTCGTCTATTTTGGTTCGTGAGTTGTTTTGTCATTAGCCTCACTCTGCGCAAACGGGCATTTATCCATGGATCATTTATGGGGTTCAAATATGAGTAGGATGCAGAAATTGCATGTCTTACCATCGTCAACCTCGCGAACAGTTTGTCCTATTTGGCAGGAAATTAGCAATTGGCTCCGATATAGGTTCCTAGTTAGCTTATGTTATAAAGGAAAGGGGTTATTCCCACCGCTTTCAAACTCTCTTGGGCCTGGGATTCGCAGTGCCCGTCCACGGGGCTCCATGTTTGTCTCAGCAGAGAAGCTAATATGCGCGGAGGGCGCACTCCGTTCTGTATTGTTCTTGTCGGGCGAAGAACTAATTTGATCAAGCATCAAAGGCTGTGGATCTGGAGAAGCAGAAAGATCTGGAGTCGAGGGGAAAATGGTTGTACCATCATTTTCAACAGTACTTATTTTCGCGTTCTCGTTCACATTAGGAACAGCTTCATTTCGATTGTCGTTTTCGTTTTCGTTGTCTTTGTCTTTGTCGCTGTTGGAATTGTTGCTGGGCATATTGCTGAGAATCCTAGCCCGCAGCCTCAATCCCTCCGCCTCAGAGGCAGCAGTCCTGCTTCTACTGCCTATTCTCGGCTCAGGGCGAAGCACTCTGATATCTCTTATTCTGTCTCGCAATGTGATACTATCTCTTCCTCTGGACTCTGATGAATGCAATCTACTGGAACGAGGTCGGTCAATCGAACGCTGCCGTGACAATCGGACTAGAATTGCATGACGGATTGCAAAGTCAACTGGTGATCAAACGCACACAGGTTTAATAAATAACTCTTGCCTACCCCAGCCGCGCACAAACAGCAGCAGGACTGATCGAGGCTCCCCTTGAGAACTGGAAGATTTTTACCAATGTCTTTGAATCGAGTTTCAAACCAGTACAGTCGCACGAGCACCACCACTAGGTTTATGACGCTTAAATTGCCAATCATGGGGACCATATATATCACCACCTGTTGGAATGTATGCATTGTATTGACATCAACGCTTTTTTGTTTTTTGGCCCAGTGTCAGCCGCCAACGCAGAATCCAGGTTGATGACTGGGAAAGAAGCACAATCGAATAATGAATTAGGAAAAAGAGAAAAATTATTGGACGTACGTATTTAACCCCGTCGTCGTCGCCGCACTGCAGCTTGTGAAAAACGCATCAATGCCAGACAAGTTCTTGGCCGGATATATGATAATCACGGCCAGCACATTCAGGAGCAAGATATAGGCATCTAGACGTAGCAAAATACAAACTGTAAGAAGATGCCCGTTTTGTCCCCATGGTCGTGATGAGTAGGAAAGGGGATATATCTCTACAGTGGAGCCGTATAAAATTCAACCGTGGGAGCCTCATTGGAAGGTAAGATACGTGAGGAATATCGGGGTGCGGGGGATTTGCAGAAGGCAAAGTGTTCTCCCCGCACGACAGAGCTGTCAGGAAGAAGAATGCAGAATAAGTGCCGCAGCAGAGCTGTCAAACAAACAAATATATATAGATATATGCGAACCCAGAGAGTGATATATCTTGTCGGTGGAAGTATATACGAAATGTATTTTGGGGTGATTGAGGGAATTGAACAGGCAATAAAAAGCATGGGAGAAATAATAAAAAATAAAATAAATAAAATTACAAAAGAGCAGAACACCGTTGATCCTGGTCAGCCTATCCCGCGGCGGTGGAGCAGGTCCAGCTGCAACGATTGGCCCCAGAATTTGCAGTCCACACAACGGGAGAAACTGGCAGAGCGTGGCGGTTCAGCCCTGTTCATGTTCAGTAACTTATTGACCCATGCAAGTGTGTCAGTCATCTTGATCTAATCAAGCCTATGGCTTTCTCAGTCCAAGTGTTTGCCGGCATCAAAAAGCGGAGGAATGAGAAACCGTCAATATCGAGGATCCACCTCGAGAGACTCCGTCATCTTCTCACAGGGCCGTTCGCCCAAATAATAAATCCGATTGATAATAGATACCATAACAATTAGTTCCTTTCTAGCTATAGATTGTGTTGGCCCGCTTCGCGCCGAGAAATCGCGGGTTTCAGTGGTGTTCTAGCCTCCTGAGGCACAGTGGAGACGCACTCAAAGCAGAATAATGAAGAAAAGTACGTAGAAAAGCTCCCCAGAAGAGTAGTCTGCATTTCAAAGGGAGTCAGGCAGCCGCGAGCCATATGGGAGCCATATTGTGCGACTGTTTCGCGTAGGAGGAGCTTGGCGATAGGGTCCTTCGTTCACTGTAACTCTTAAGATCAATGAGCCAGTGACGCCGCTGCAAGAAAATGTTCGGTGTGGTGTGGTGTGGAAATTCAGAACCTCGGAAGCGATAGTTCCCCCAGTGGATCGCGTGTTAATTAGTTAAGCTTTCAAACTAATCCATAACTGAATATTGGCATTGTTTAGGGGCTGAGGTTAACGGGATTACCACTGGTACATAAAAATTTCTTAGGGCACTAGGCAGTAGGCCCAATGCCCGGCCTCCAGCCTCCAGCTTCCAGGCCCTACTAATGATCCAAGGTTCTTGTGCGAGGTTGGTGAACGATTTGCAAATTGTTGGAAGACAATCCAACCGGTCATCCAAGTGACGTCAGGGGGGCGGGGGTATTTAGGTCCTTTGGATCAAGACCTAAAGACGGAATCTGACTGCAGACAACTAGGATGCAACGTCGGGAATCAGGAATAAACCATTGGTACGCACCTGAAGCGGAAATACTGAATGTTATAATAAAATATCTGGAGGCACAATAAGATGGACACTTCGAATTTTGGAATTAAACTCCCAAGATGTTGATGTCGTTGTTAGGTGAGACTTATTGGTTCTGGCCACAATTTTGGTGGAACTGTATCGCCCATCCGATTCAGAACCCAGGTACGTTAGCTGCCTAACCCTCCTAAATCTAATTTGGTTCAATCCGCGAGCAACATCGTGCAGACAATAAAGATAACTAATGGCTTATTGGTTCATGTAGGATGAAACAGTTCTGATTGTGTTGCAGATTTCAGTCAGAATCGCGCGATGCAATTGGAAGGTTAGGGGGGTTTAGGGTTATATACCAGATTTGATATGAGGCTCTGTGGCCGCGATTCAACTTCTGCTCATGCAGCTTTCTGGCTTCCTTTCACTACATGTTCAGGCACGATGTTTTGTTCTAGAACAGCCTGATATAAGATCCGTACTATATGTGCCTCGCCGCAAATAGTTTGCATGCACAGTGTCTTGTCGCGCAAGATAGCCAGCTGTGTCACCGTCAATCATACCATGCTTCTCCCTGCGACCCCTTACCTCAACCATCCAAACTCCATCAGTCTCAATTTTGCAAGATTGAGTCAGGGCTTCAACTGGCAGTTCATACACCGCCTTTTCTTTCTCTTCTAGAGAATGGTTCAGGAGTGCTGGGTTTCAATATAAAATCCTGCTACTGACTTTCTCTCCGTCCCTGGTAGCTGGCTACTATCAACTAGGCCAATTTCTGCGATTACAACCTGCAGATTTCTTACTCTCCCGCAGGGTTTGCCAATGGCAATCACAAAATATGATGAATCCTCCGAACCATTCCGATATTTCTGTACTCTCGAAGCCCAGTGGTGGAACCTAAAATTCTGGGCTTTCCTACGCCGGGGACTATACGGCTCCTCTAAAGGAAGGAATAGAGCCAACATCGCGGGAAATCTGGCCGCGGAGAAAGAATACTGCCTTATTTAACCTGGCTATTAATTCCAGCCATACGCCGGAAACAAAGGAAGGGATGAGTGGCAGTGTGAAGGCAAGGGGGCTGAACCCCAGCCGCATGTTTACTGCATTGCAAGATCTTGGCTCGTCCTCGCTACTGGCTTCAATCCAGCTGTTCTCTACGGACTACTCATTGCTACATTGAATGCGTAGCTACTCTTGTCCTAGGAGTGCATTATCCAACCCTGCTTCAAGCCCGGTCCCCTTGTTAACAAATGATGGGCTCTATGGAAATAAGAACCTTTTATTCCCAGATAAAGTGAAATTCATCAATGGCTGATACAAATCACGCAGATAAAAAGTCAAATCTTGGAGCTGCATGTGTTCTGCATGCGTCAAATCTTAAAAAAATAAGGAGAGAAGAGACACAAGACGGTAAAACTCGCACAACGTCACAACCTGACTGAAACCCTACCGGTGTTCTCAAACAAGTGAGGAAGCATCTCTACCAGATGTGATAGTCCTCTTGTTGATATTATACAATAGAGGATCTCGGAAACTGTCTATCCGTTCCAAATCAGAATGAGGAATGCGAAAGGCCTAAACCAGACACCCAGAGACGGAAAATCAGGATCACCCGAGTCACCGGTATGGTATACGAACCCAGCACGATTATCTGATAAGAATGCATGTTCATGTATATAAAAAGACACGTGGCTGGTATTCGATGGCTAGAGGATGAAGAGCGAGGAGATATCAACGGGCACACGGAAGCTTCTTTGCAGCAGTGCTGCTCATCCACCCTTGCTTGACGCATTATCTGGGTGCAACAGGGTTCATTCGCAACAGGAACCGAAAAGAACAGCCAGGGCTTCGGTAAGCTTAGCTGATCGAACCCCCTGTCGATTGCATCAGCGGTGAATCGAAGTATGTAATATCTCGGTCAATTTACGACAGGATAGCTACAGACTGCTCAATCCGTGGCTGTTGGGGTCACAGGTAGGCAATAGACATGCTCCAGCTTCAAGTCTGTGATTGGGAAGTGGCAGATAATATGAGGTTATCATTATTCGGAGCCCGCCCAATGGCAACGTTGGACTTTCTCACTAAGCCAATGATGCCCTTTTTGTCTCTTGACCGCTGCGGCCTTCACAGCTCCCAATCAATTTACCCTTTTAGATGAGCAGACTGTAGATATTCCTAGCTAGTCCGTCATGTGCTCATGGACCACCTTTTAATTGGTTTCTGCGTTGAACAGTCTATTTGCTGCAGATGAGCAGAAGAGGAAGCTGATTCTGATATCTTGTGTGCTCGGGGTATGTTTGCAATAGAACCGATCATCGACGTTACCTCTAAAAAAGTATGATTGACTTTATGCATTTCTTGCAAAGCGATGAATGAAGCGCGGTTTGAAATGATAGTTAACTATGCTGACCGTCAAACTAGATATTTCACCACGAACTAGCCCAGGAACATCCGCAGCCAGAAATCCTGGCCTGATACCGCGCTGGGGCCAATCTACATCCATAGTATGTAGGAAACTAGCGCAGCGCCAGTCCTGCTCAAACCCACAACTTGCCGGAGCTAGCTGCAGATTCCCGCTCCCTTAAACTATAATTTCTGTCATGAGCTGATATTAATATTTAATTTTTATTTCTTCTGTTGAGATTCTGATGGGCTTGCATTATTTGTCGGGCAAGCTCAGAAACCGCCTCAGTCAATAACCATAGCTCTCATATTAATACAAAAGGACCATTCTGCTTTTTGCTACGTGTCAAGGAATCGAATGAGTGGAATATGAGGCCTTGGTTTAAGAGCCTAATTAATAAAATATAAAAAGAAGGGAGCCCATCACTCAATGGGGAGTAATTATCAGAAACTACAGCAAACATATTGATATAGACACAAAAAGGCTAGGCAGTGTGGGTTACAATTTTGCACGCAAGCATAATAGAAGCGTAATTTTTTAAAAAACTAGAAGGAAATAGGACAAGATTCAGGCAGAGTAAATTTCCCGGCGATAAAGCGACATGAACAAAGGAAGGCTCAAAGAGCACAAACAAAAGTGTCGTCGTCGTGAAAGTGGAAAGGGGAGAAAACAAGTACAGAGATCGGGCAAACTCATCACCCATCCATACCTGACAAGCAAACTAGAGAGAGGCGATAGAGTAACAGGGGGAACTAACAGGGGGAACGAAAAAATCACGCTCATCCGGTATTTTAAGCCGAGGAACCGATAACAAACTAAACGAACCCTTCCTTCGTTTTTGGGATGTAAAATGGGGGAAAATAATAGCAAAGACAAATAAACGAGGCGAAAACGATAAAATATAACCACGCAGTCCTAAACCAAGAGCTGGCTTGTAGCTGACAAGGCAGGTTTTCTTGTGAGGACAAATTCGCATGCAGGAGGCTCTACTTCCACCGTCTTACCTCCATACAACTAGCATTTTACATGATTTGGTCTTGGGTAAGACCGCCCGTCGCTTCTGTGCCTCCCACGGCATCTGCAGAACCGTTGTTCAGGTACTTGACGAAGGTCAGGCCGAGAGGACGACCTCCGTACTGATAACCGGTGAACTTGTCTGTGTATTATGTCAGCATAGGCATATTTCGACAAGGTGAAACCATAGCTCATCAAGAATGAGCAATGAACATGGATAGGCCAACACATACTGATAGCAGTCTCTGCGTTTTCAGCGGAGTCAAATTCAACAACCCCAGTACCTCTGGAGCGGCCGTTAGGCTCATACTGAATTTCGGCCCTTTCAACTTTACCAATTGTTGAAAAGAGGTCAACTAGATCTTCATTGCAGGTCGACCAAGGAAGCTGTTTGGAGACGCAGTTCCCTTCATTAGTCAGAAAGCCATGACAAGACCAAAAAAAGGAAATAACAGGGACGATAACGTACGTTGCGGACATAGATGGTAGCGCTTCTTTCTCCACCAGAAGTTGCAAAATCCGTGAATGGATTTGGAGGGACTGATGCACCCCCCTCTACTGGTCCAGCACCGTGGCCACCACCGTATCCTGCTCCGAAACCACCTCTTCCACCACCAAACCCGCCGCCAAAACCACCACGTCCACCACCAAACCCACCACGGCCACCTACAAACCCACCACGGGCAGGAACCCCTCCAAAACCACCACGTCCAGCAAAGCCTGCGGCTCCTGCATAGCGATCTTCGCGAACTTCAAGTGTTCGACCCTGCCAGTCATACCCGTTGAATTGCTGGATAGCATTTCGAGCATCATCCGCACTTTCAAATGCAACAATTCCGGAACCTTTCGGGCGGCCACTAGGATCAATGTGCACATCGGCGCGGACAACAGCACCTTGTTGCGCTGTGAATGGGTATTGGTCAATGCAAGGGCACCCTACGCACACACAGCTATCACACGATACGCAAAATCAATCAAGAACTGTAACAGCTTTGGACTTACCAGCTTGGCGGAATAGATCCTTCAGGTCTTGCCAGCCTACATTGAATGGAAGCTAGATATAGAAAGTTAATGGTCCAAGTTCAAGTTTCAACGTAGAATTGGGCAGGTTGGGATGGGTTATGGGAGCATGGAGTAAGGGAAGGAACAAGGGGCAGCAATAAGTGTCAGGTGGGTAACAAACGTTGGAGACATAGATTTGTCGGCCGCCACTAGCGCCCGGGCCTGGGGCATAGCCTCCATAGCCCCCGCGTCCAGGACCTCCGAAATCACCACGGGCAGGTGGGCCTGTGAAACGGGGTTCTGCCTCACGGTCCTATAGGGGCGTAGAGTAGATGATGCAATGTTAGTTCATGAAAAGAGCGGTAGGAAGGAGGAAGATAGAGAAGGGCCAAGGAGTCCCCACCTCGCGAACGTAAACGAGTCTGCCCATGAGGTTTTGGTTACTGAGAGTTGCTACAGCATTTTGAGCTTCCTCCCTCGTTGCGTATTCCACAATCCTGCAATATCAACAGTTAAATCAGTTTTCCATTAAAACAACCCAAACCCCTTCGCTCGCGGACACCTCGGAGACGGTTACTTACCCGCAGCCCTACATTAACCAGACCGCCAAGCCCCAACCCGTCAATCCAACGTCCATCAAAATAACCATAAAGAAAACCAGGAAACCAGCCACAGCTACACGTTGACGCCCACCTTCGACATTCCATTGGGAAGTAGTAAGACATCGGCAAAGAGTACCTCTCCAGCTAAAACATCACAAACCCGACCGCCACAGTTAGCCCTCTCTTCTTTTCCAGCCATCTCCCGACTAGGAAGTCTTTACTCCCAAAACCAGCTTACCCTGTCTCATAAAATCTTTAAGATGATGCCATTTGACATCGTATGACAAATTCCCAACATAGACCCGGCGGTCTTGTTGGGAAGATTCGCGCACTGATTGAATCATTTGTTCTTTGGCAAAAGAACGATCCTCGAGAGAACGAACAGAAGGGCCACGTCCACCGTATCCAGAGCTCGAATGTCCAGGAGCACCAGCTGCACCACTCACAGGAGATCTGGATCGACGATCGTTGCGACGGTAGTCCTCACGACTACGGGAACGACTGCGAGGCGAATAGGAACGACGGCCGCGACGTGGACTACGGGAGCGACGACGTGGGGAACGGGACCTCTCGCGCTGCAAGTAGTTAGCCATCACAGAGGCGTTCGAAGCCAATTCAGAATGTGAAAATCGAATGCGCGCTAGTAGGGGACAGGCAACGCGCACAAATCAATGAGAGAAACGACAATGGAGTGTTAAGTACGGACGAAGGAATGATGGGAGTGAAGTTAAGGTGGTTTGGATAGGTGATTGGCTATCGACGGGTAACCACGTGAATAATTTAAGTTTAGAGAGCAAAGATTGGGGAGAACGGAGCGGAGAAGGGGCGGAGAGGGGCGGAAGAGCAAGGAGACACAAGCCATAGCGGGCAGCAAGAATGAATCCACTTCGCAACCGAAACAGAAGATAATTTCGATATTTCGATATAAGGCAACGGACCCATAGCAAAGGTAGTTGATAGAGAAAAAAGACAAAGACGGTGGTGTAGCAAAAGAGATGAGCGCGTGATGCGGCTCTGAATCTGCCTGATCTACTCCGATCGGACAACCCACTACAAACACGCCATCCAGTCCATTTCCTCTTCTACCAACCAATGGAGAATCATTGTCTGCCCCGCGCATGCTTTTGAATATGGATAGGTCTTCTCTTCCAATGCCCTCTTTCTTTATAATAATCCAGTGCTACATCAAATAGCGTCGAGATACGAGGTTGTGCGCAGTGACCGGGGATAGGAAAATGGTATTTGCAACGAATAAAACTCACAGTTGAACTTACTTGAGCGGGTCGATACACGTCGGCTGCACCTAGGAATGAGAGAAGGTTAAAGTGAGTCTCAAGAAGTCTTAATAGGCCAACGAAAAGACTAAAAGCAACCGAGAACAAAATAGGAAGATGAGTCAGAGATTGTAGGGAACCAAACAGATAGAAGCTTGATAGGAAGGAAAGAAGAATAATCTCAGGAGAAGGGGAAGGTGAGAACAGTAAAAGGGCGAAGATGTGGAGTATTGGTCCACAGTGACAGTCAGGTCAGAGTGTGATGGTCAGAATGAACTCGCGCAGCAGACGCCGGAGCCAAGATCAAGAGGGGCAGGATTGATTCAACAGAGGGTGTGAGAGACTTCTCAAGGCGTATCAAGTGTCAAGCATAAGGAGGGGAGAGGAGGGGAGAGGAGATGAGGGGAGAGGAGGGGGAGTGAAGGGATTGAGGAGGGATGTTTTGTAATAGAAATGGCCAAGCAAGGGGAATGGTCGGAATTCACAGGAAGGAGAGCACACTGCTTGCCGTTCTTCTTTTCACCCTGGGGAATGCAGGCTGAAAAGGGTAATAAATAGGTGATGATAAATAGGTGGGTCGTCCACAAGAAACAAAAGAATTGACAAAGGTGAAAGGAATTGGATAATATAAAAATATATATATATATTTTATATTTAGGAAAAATAGTAAAAGAAAAAATTCGAGCTCAGGCGCTGCAGCCACGGCCGGAATAAGGCAACGGCGGGATCGGGAAGAAGGCAAGCAAGGCAATTTGTTGTATAACAAGCTGTCGGAAAGACACGCGAAAAAGGGAAGGGTAAGGCAAGCTAGTCGCGCAAAGGGAACGAGAAGAGGACAGGAGGAATTGAGACACACGCACCCATAGCTTATAATAGAGGAGAGAGAGGAAGGGGGGAGGAGGAGGTATATTCGAGGGTCAAGGAACCACAGCGAAGTCGATGGAGTTATTTCCCAGCGCGTCGGAAGGGGGAAGGGTTTCTGCGGTGGTGAACGGGCTGGCTTCAGAGTCGGAGTCGGATGAGGTATGAGATTTTAGAGGGCTGCACGGCAAAAAGCGCTGTGGAGGCGTGTTATTGGACGAAGAGAAAAGGCGACCACAGCAGGGATGGGTTGAATAGCCGGGAGACCGTGGGAGGGGAGGGAGTAGTGGTGGTCGGAGTGTAGTGCTTGGGTGGTTGGTGTCGTGTATGCGCAGCGGCGGAAGCAAAGTTGAGAGAAAGAGGTTGCTTTTTTTTCTGCCCCAATTGCTCCCTGTTTTAGGCCGAATATCAAAAAGATTAAACTTCCCTGAGTATTGTATCGCTGGGGGTTTTTTTTATTACCGCTTTCTGGGTTTTTTTTTTTCATAAGTTGCTCGCAACTGCGCAAAATAGCAAGAGGTATCGTTATCTGGTAACTAATACAGCCATGGCCAGAATTATATCGCTTGGCATGCGCGAGGACAACGCCGCATTGGCCCGTAGTTAGTAGGCGTAACTTATCTGCTGTGAAATACTTATGGAGACGGAAAAAAAAAAAAAAAAAAAAAAAAAAAAAAAAAAAAAAAAAAAAAACAGAACTATCTCTCAACCTCCAAAGGATTGATAAGCAGGTAAGCAGTATAATATGTTCAGACAAATTTTACACATCATTCCACTCCCTGATATATGTAGCTCAATTTCCGCATTTTCTATTCTCATGCTGCCGCGATGGATGGTATTTTTGAGAGCTTGAGCCTCCTTTACGTAACTTTGTAACCAGCTTACCGCTTACACCAATCGGGCCTAGAACATTGCTCGTTGCGCCTCAGAAGACTCTCCCACATCAGACTTTTTTTTATCACACTCCAGCTTCCCGCCCTCTTTTGACAAGGGTTGCTTCAGTCCAGTCCACGCTGCATACAGATACAGTCACGTCGTTTCGAATAATCGACAGCGGAGCGCTGGGAGTAGCGACGCTGTATACCCCTGCTGGACTAAAATTAAAACTTTTGGGCCTTCATGGGTCAGAGATGCTCCCGCTGCAAGTGCTGAGTAGCGACAGCCGCCAGATTGGCAAACTTTCTCTCCTGTCTCAAAGGCCCTTTCCTTTATCCTCCGCTTCCTAGACATCATGGGTGCGTGGGAGATCCTTCCTCCACCCTTGAAATGTGGATAACCTTACCATAATCTCGTGCGCACATTTTCATTCTTGCTTTCCAGCCCATTGGCTCCGAATTTCGTGCGCTGGGGACGGAAGAAATTCCTCAGAGCGCATGCACCTTGGGAGCCACGCATGTCGGGATTTATTTATGCACGCCCTAAGCCACACCGGACAGTTATGGAGAGGAGGGGTTGGAAAATACCTAGGGGTTGCTGGAATACTGCGTCCCAAAACCAATTCCCATTCAAAACTGGACAGAAGGAGGGGGACACACTTCTGAGAGACTACAAGGGAATTTGAGACCCAGTGAGGCACTAAAGCAGGAAGAGAAGCCTTTCAGGTCCCTAAGTATGACTCTCTCCGATCTAGGCCTTGTCTGCCCGGCTTGTACTCAGCACTATGTACACGTACATGTACAGTACATTGTGCATGTACATTACATACATGTACGTGCAGCTTCCCCGATGGGGCGTCAAAGCATCGATCAACTGGGTTCAACGGCTCCAGATTAAACACAGATCTTCTCTAGGGTCAACACCCCTAGGCTGACGGGCTGGGTGAGAAACTTCGAATTCCAGCGGACACATGAGGCTGTTGGCTACAATCCAGTACGCAGTTGATACCTACACCAAATAAAAGCACCAAACGGCACCAAGCCGGCCCTATGTCATGGACCGTTTTTGGAAAACGACCAAGCTAGTTATGCAAGGTAAGCCTAGTTCACGAATCCCGGAGGACAATCTGGTGGATTGCATCAACGGGAGCGAGCGGACTGGGTGGTGTGGAACTCAAATATTGTTATCTCCCCGAGGGTTGGCTCGTTTAATCTTCCTGCACACCGTCAAGAATAATAAACCACCCTCCACTGTAAGTACACTTATGAAGAGTGAGGAAAGGGATTAAAAAAAAAGGAACAGGAAAAGATACCATGTCCTGCAAGGATTCAACGGACCCGTGAAAATCACCAACCGAACTTACGTTAACCAATCAAAAGGAGATGACCCGACATTTCTCTTCAAAGCCATCTCGAGATGACCAATCGAGTCGATGAGAACGCAATTCGCAAACCCGGCTAAGGCAGGGCTGGCTGGGACGCTATCATAATCATAATCGGTGCCAACACCGCCATAGCGCCGTTTTTCTCGTTTCACACTTGTGCTATGTTCATGATTTCAGACGTTGCACTTGCCCTTGGCTGTACACCTGTATGTGACGGTCCAGTACACCAAACAGGAGACATCCCTTACGAATGGAGGGCCCTGTTAACACATATCTGAGATATCTGACTAGATGACAGAGTTTGAAGTGCTAACAGCCTCCGTTCATAGTAAATGGGAAACTGAAATGCAACAAGTAATTTTTTTTCCGGGTCCTCCTATTTGCCTACATGTCCCATGGTTCATGACATCGCGATATTCTCCTTCGTTGCTCCTTATTACCTTCTCTTCTATATTTTTGCAGAGTAGCTTACTGGTGGTGCACGTACCCGTTGAGATTGTGGGCGCTTCTACGTCTTTCATCTTCACCAGGTACCTCGATCGAGTAATGACAAATGTGCTCTAACCAGACCTTGCAGCTGCTGGAATTATATTTCTCTAATTTGCAGTTGCTGAAAATGTTTCTGGAACCAGTTTGGTTGTCAAACCTCAACCTATACCGGATGGCTATCTCTGAACCATTCATTCATCTAACCTTTAAATTTCAACAGATGGACAAACTCCGTTTTGGAAACCTCAAAACTCCCCAAGCGAAATACGATACCGGAACCTTAACTCATTCTGGCTGAGCCAAATTCGAACCATGTTAAACCGTCGTCTTCCGACTAATATCGTGCATGTATTTGTTGCATGCATATATTATATACTTCGTGCTCTTTCCTATGAGAGTTCCAACTGAGACCCGTGCTGACTTGAAGATGGGCAAGATACGCCGACCTCTCACTGGTGTTTTTTCTTGATATGTGTAGAATCCCGGGTGAATGGCTTGTCTTGAATCGATATAAGATGACACTATCTTCGAGATGTTATTCAATGATTATACGATGGAGGTTAAAGCAAACCCTCAAAGGGATTTATTAAGATTCAACAGAGGTGCAACTGCTTCCAGTTTCGTTCTTTGATCGCACTGAATTTGTCCTCTGTTGCCTGGATACGCTCCATCATGCTGTTTCTAGTGTGCGAGCCTTGGGCCACTCCATTGTTGTGTGCATCTATGCAACACTAGGGCCATTATTGTGGCCCGTTGTGCGAGTGAAATAATACCCTTAGGGATGAAGTTGTTTTTTTCTCGGTAGAAGGACATGGCTGCAAGTTAAAGCACTTTTGCAACCTTCCACTTTTTTCCTTCGATTGTTCCCCTGCCGCCGCTGACCACCAGTTAATTACTGAGGGGTTCTAAAAACGCAATAAAAACAGGGTTGCAGGGTTACGGTCGCTACATTGATTGCCCAAACTCTAGGATAACATGCCCCTTGTTATTGCCTGGGTTTCTGAGGAAGGGTGTGTGGGGGGTCATCAAACTGAAATTTCGTTCTGGCCAAACCTTGGCCCGTCAATGACGACGTTCCTCAGGCAAACAAAACGCCATACGAGAATGGTATCGTGTCCACCTTCTTCGTTTTCGGCTTCCTGTTCGTTAGATCCGCTCAATGCTCATCATCTCTCTCACCGGTGAAACCATGAATATGCCTTGTTTTTAACTCTCACCTCGATGATAGAGGAACGACGTTAGTTTGACTTGTCCATATGTCCGGCTTTCCCGTGCAGAAATCACAGACCATACTTGCATTACCGCGGGATACGTCCTTTTCCATCCAACCCTCGGGCGGATCAACGGCTGGGTACCAAAATCATCCCCGGCTGCCTGCTGCATTCAAGGCAGGTATCATCGGAATCTCTGCCTTAGATTGCTGCAGTAAGGACATGTGGATGTACAGTACAGTACATGTACTTTATCGACACCATCCTCGATGCCTAATCCACAACTGCCTTAGTCAAGCCCGAAGGCTTCAACAGCGCTAAGAAATTCTCACTTTAGTATCCCCAAGCCGATCAACCTGCTCTCCCTCCCGTTTCAAAATGCGGGTAGTTGAATCTGATACCATCCAACGCGCCCCATCGTCTACTTAATTATGCTTACCATCGCTCTCTTCGTGAATCATGCCCACTGTGGAGCCCTTCCCCGTTCTAAATTCTTTTCCATCTAACTCTCAAAATTGATGTGAATCACCGCGGAATGAGCAAAAAAGGAAAACAGAAAAAGAAAAAAATATTTTAAGATAAAACCGAAACTAGCCAAGACCCCCATGCATGGAATCTCCTGCACGTCTCTCCATTCATCGAACACCTACTCAGAGGCAAATGAAAATGATTGGCCGTAGGACCGGATCGTGCCAGGATGGTCCCTGTCTGGAGACTTCCGACTATTCAAGCCCTCGCAGCCGACGGCACAGGAGAAAGGAAGTAGAAGCAGATATTTTGCTATCTGAGGGTCCGGGGGCGAAGTTCTGGCTTTTCACTTTTCTTTCCCTAGTTATTCTCTTCCTTTCTTCTTCACGGGCCATTGTATTTCTCATTATTGTTTTCGTTACTTTTTTGCAAGGTTTCTCTCAGCTCTCTTACTTCCTTTTAATGCAGATATATATACTAGTTCGGGCAATGTCTGTTCCGGAATACGGCGGTGAACAATGATGGTTTAGAAAAAAACTCGCGTGAGCTCTGAAACATTCTCTCTCTTCACAAAACGAAGTGGCCAGCCATGACTCTTTTCTTTTTCTCCTCAATTCCCGGTGAGATTTGCTTCATTTTTAAGGTGACTGACTAGAGTTTTCTCTTGCGAGTAGGCAAATGTGCTTATTGGCAGAGAAAGGCTGTGAAAAATTCCTCATTTGATCATCCATTCCAATTTTTCTTCTTTTCTTCTCCCTTTCCTTCCCCTCCCCGAATTTGTTCGTCACTATTCTTCTTGTTGGTTTCTCAAAAATCCTCCCGATTCTCCCCCTAGACGGACATGCATTGGAAACTTATATTATTTTGAATAAAAAGGATAAAAGAAATCACTGCGAATAGGTGCACTAATAACAAGTCACATTTTAGTTTTCTCATTACCTATTAATTTAACTCCAAGCTGCAGTTTTTCGGTTCTTTAACCCTACTCAGTTATTCAAATGGGTGCGCCAATTACCACCAAAGGTTATGGTATGGGATACCTGCCCTGCAGAGGTGTTGAGGTCATATTCCGCAGGAGATCCAGACGGACATCGGTAATGTGGGGCGTGGGTACCTATTCGGAGATGCCTCTTCTATCTGGTGAACATTTCCAAAAAGGAAAGCATATTTATGGGCATTCATATCCTTATACCCTAGGGATAGCAGTTCCGCTGGAACGAGCAGTAGGTAAAGGGCTGCAACCAAACCATCGCATATCGGAATAAAAAGATGCGGAAAATGGAAACCGAAAGTGAAGAGGGACGTTTACACCGCCTTGATGGATAAAACCATAACGAAAAAAAGAATCAACCGCTCTCGACTTGGGCCTAACGACTATATCCATGGGTGAGATATATGGTGCATTCGAGGGTCGTGGGAAGAGGTTCGGAGCACAAAAAGACGTTCTTCGTCCATGTTCAGGCTACCAAGTGACTCCATAGTGGCCTAAAATGATTTCCCCACGGTGCCGTTGAAGGAAGGGAGAAAATCGAGTTTCGAGAACATCCGTTGGTACCATATATGGAAAAACAGTCATCATTTTTCTGCTAAATGTTTTTAGGCTTAGGTATGCGCACTTGGGTACGTTTAAACAATCATCGGATGAGAAATTGGGGCTTGCCGCACGTATTAGATAATCTAATCTATTCAGTCCAGTATAGGCTTTGTTATTGCAGTTGGTGTCCATCGAGCCTTGGTCTCCAATCATTAACTCTGACGCACACATGTCTCATCAGAACCCAGGGATAATTCGAATGGTAGCTGGAGGCACTTTTTACTCCAGGAAATCCAGCAGCATCTACACGAGCTTGGGATGTCGGCAGTCCGTTCGGGGGCAGCATAAGAAAACGCAACATGCCTGCAAAGCCCATACACTTTGCCTCGAAAGCAGAGAGGCTTATACAGCATCACCTGAAGGAAGACGAACTTGCTCATCAACATCCCACGTCGGCAACCCGTCTTCCTTTACTCTCAGGAGAGCACGGGGAGAGGAACGAAAAGCGGGAATACTAAAACTCAGGGGGCCCGACCAAGATCGAGGCAAGCGATTTTCAGGGGCTCAACCAGATCACGAGATGTCACTAGCCCTAACTAGGTAACTAGCAAAATCTTGACATCCGTCCGTCTCGACTACGAAGCTCGGTTTATGTTTATAGCGCCATTGACTACGGCCCAGCGGTGCTTTGTGTTGCTCACTTGGGGCCAGTGTCAGACCAACATTGCATTTCTTGTTGATCTTGAGATATACCTGGCCTGTTCTAGTTATTCCAACCCAGAGGAGACCTTGGTGGCGGCCATTTTCCGTGTGCCTTCGACTGACTTCGATTTAAATACCTCTACTAGTTATTGCTGGTTAGGTTTGACTAGTTAGATACGCCTCAACCTTATTCCAACCTGTCTTCTCCACTCTGGCTATAGTTATCGGTGTCTAGCATGGGACAAGGCTCAAGTTAGTGCACATCACCATTGCAGGGTTAGTTATTCTTAGTTCTGGATGTATTCATCCAACAAAATATAACCAATCCCCACATGAGTTGAATTCAGTTATTCCAGCAGAAAAGTCCAACATAACATTTGGGTTCTTACGTGAGAAGATATTTTCCGGGAAATTTTGTTCTCCCTTGAACGGCAAGAACCCACTTGGAATGCATCGATGCAAATACTTCACGAGAATGCCTCCCTCCCATTTCGGACCTGAAATAGGGGATGGAGGAAGGACAGGTATTAGAATCGATCTCCTTCATCATACCTATTTTCTTCTAGGTGTCTAGCCTTGCTCTTGTTTCAGCCACATTCCTAAAAAGGTGCTGCAGCATTGGAGTTCGATTCCAGCCTGAGCCTGGCTTCATGATCTTAGCTTACTTTCGACGCAATAGGGCTATCCGTCAATCATTTTAAAAGAGTATTAAGATCCATACAGCCGAACTGACGGCTCAAAGCCCGGTTTTCTGGAAATGCCAAGGGCCTGCAGCTGATCCGATATTACCAGTGCTTCGCTGGCAAGCGTTTCTCCTGCGCAACACATTCGCCACTGCGGACTATGATAAATCCACAGAGCAAGCTACGCAAAGCCGAGGTTCAGGCGTGCGTGTCAAGCTTCCAAGAGGAGCATAACGTCAAACGTGTCGCAAGATCTTGAGGTTTGTAAATATATTTTATCCTAGCCGCCTGAGAGGACTTACGCTAGATTAGAGAACATTTTAACCGGGTGAGAAGACTCCACCCCCCTCCTAATTGCTTTACACATTCTGACTGTGCAATATCAATTCTCTTAGACCCAACTGTACCATTTTAATACCCCCGGTTTTAACAGATATGATCAATCAGGTATCGCATTGCCATTTGCTGCATTCCATTGACTTTGTTAAATTGTTTCGCAGCCGATGCAATCAGCACCTAAAGCATACTCTTCCTTTGTTCACAGTTATTTCATGAATGCTCATGTGTTGGTGGCTAGCTGGTTCGTTCTCGACTTGACGAATATTTTGGTGCAGATATCTGCTCACATTCTGTTCATTGGGGATTTGCCGCCTTCGACAGGAGGCGGATGCCATCTTTGTCAATTGTTGTGGAACCCGAGTTCTTCCGACAAGTTTCCTCTTTGTGAGGGGAATTGGTTGTTGTTACCTTCACAATCAGAAACGATGTCAGGCTGTATCATCGTGTGTATTTTTATTTTTTTTATTTTTTTATTTTTTATTTTTTGCCAAGGGATAACCGAGATACTTGTTCGATGTAGGAGCTTGATAAGTTTATATGGGCTCAGCCGGTCTCGAATTGGGCCCAGAAAGAGAAAAGCTTCCACAAATCTAGATGGAAAATATGGACAGCGGTCTACTGCTTTTCAACAGGATGTCATGTCAAGTAACATTCTATGCTCAACTACATCCGCACTCCTTAGTGAAAATGCTATAACTTAGGATCGTGGTTCGCGCCATACAGTGCAGCAATGATGATATGTTATTTGTCCACTTGGACCTTCTTTCCCAGTTTCAGGCTATATAGTATAAAATTCAGCCTCAGCTTCTTAAATTGTGAAAGCTATCATCCCTGTCCATTTGCGATCTATTTTATATTATTTTACGGCGTTACTTACGCATAACCTCCCTGGACGCTGCATTGTCTTTGATCGCCTATTAACGACTACGGGTAAGGGCGTGTTATCCTTAATAAAAACCCTCCCCAAATGCTATTTCAATGACGGAAAACAAAGCATAGAGCGGATTGTGGGCACATATGAAACAACCCCAGGAGGTAGTTATAGTACAGTACATTAAAGTATTCGTCGTTATTGCATCGTCAGGATAAATCTCATCACTCATAACCCCTCTCTCACCCTTGAAACGATTCAATAGATTTTCTTCATTTTCTTCCTCTCCCTTGCTGAAAGACCGCGTTTAACTTAAAAATGAAGGTCACTAAAGAGTCCACCTCCCTCGCGTAATAGCGCGCTCGTGGTGAAGACTAGACTGCTTAGTAGCTGGAATTTTGACATTTTGTGATGTGGCGGGGCAGATGTGCTTGTAAAATATTTAGTTTGCGAGCAGTTCTGAACTCAAAAGACGACGAGGAGCCCATGCTACTATATTATTAGTTCCAGAACGCAGCTTGACCAAAAGAGGGAGGTGGATTATCTTAACTATTTCAAGCTTCTATTAAGTTTCCGAGAAAATATCCAAAAAGGAGGCCAGGGCGGGGGACTAGAAAAACATAGCGGGGAAATCATCACACGTTGGATGATATATCAACGGACGTTGTTCTGGACATCTCTGATATCTCCTGGATACGTTCTCATTTTGTTCTCATTTGGTTGACATATATTAACTATATTCTACTGCACACCGTTAAGTTACATTTTCGAAATTCTTATTTTCACATTCTAAAATCTGTACAATTACGCGCGAACCAAGGCTGTGGTCCTATCGGTTGGCCTGAAAGAGAGAGCAATAACCGCCGTTTTTTCCAAGGGTTATCTTCTTCTTGGAAATACATTTCATCATCATATCTGGACGCCTTAAAAGAATCTCTCTGACCACCCGTCATGACCCATGCAATACCCTCCAAGACCATTCACATCCATCGGCACCAGCACCATCTAAAATGGTCCAAACAAATTCCCCCAGTCCAAACCATCAACTCAGGCGACATAGTCCACTTCGACGCCATAGACGGGAGCAACGGCCAAATAACCAAGACCTCCACAGAGAGCGCACTGAGCACCTTCGACATCGCGCGCGCTGACCCTGCTGTGGGGCCTGTTTTTGTCACAGGCGCGGAACCAGGCGATGTTCTGGAAGTCGAGATCCTCGACCTGGAAACCACGGATTGGGGTTGGACGGGAATATTTCCTGGCTTTGGCCTCTTATCGGATGAGTTTCCCGACGGGGCGCTGAAGATCTGGCAACTGGATCCCGACAAGCCCTATGCACTCTTCAAAGAAGGCATCCGGATCCCACAACAGCCATTTTTGGGCGTTATGGGCGTCGCCCCGGGGGCGGAGGGGGAATTTTCTATGATCCCGCCCACGAATGCGGGCGGGAATATCGACTGTCGCTATCTCACCGTGGGATCCAAGCTGTTTCTCCCCATCCAAACGCCCGGCGCACTATTCAGCTGCGGCGACGGACATATAGCGCAGGGAGATGGGGAAGTTTGCGGCACCGCTATTGAAACTCCTCTGAAAGCCACCCTCCGACTCTCAATTCACAAGAACCAGCCATGGTTAATAGCGCCGCAGTTTCAGACAACCCCGCGAACGGCGGCGGGTATACACGGCGCTGACCAGGCGCTGCCGGCAGATAAAGGGGAATATGCGACTATGGGGATTGACCCAGACCTGCTCGAGGCAGCAAAGAAGGCGACTCGAAGTCTCATTGAGTGGCTAGTCAGGAACAAGGAGTTAACTCGGGAAGAAGCGTATATGTTGGCGAGCGTGGCGGGGAATCTCAAAATTGTAGAGATTGTGGACATGCCGAACTACGCAGTCGCGATGTCTTTGCCTTTAAATATATTTGTATAGAGAGTATGATTCCGTTTTGGCACATATTATTCAATTAACTTAGATGCTTCTGAGCGCCTGTTTGGCCGCTGGCAAGGAGCATCCTTGGCTACTCATGCTTTATCTTTATCTTTATTTTATTTTTATTTTATATTTATTTATTTATTATTATTATTATTATTATTATTATTATTTTTTTTTTTTTTTTTTTTTTTTTTTTTTTTTTTTTTTTTTTTTTTTTTCACATTGATTAATGATGGAACAAACCATAACTAATGGTCTGGACCGCCATGCATAAAAAACGCAGGTTCAATTTTTAACGTTAGGTTTCCACGTTAGGTTGTTTTCGTACGCCTCCTCGCGCTTAGTTAACGCTTTGCAGATAATTAATTTCCCCTGTAACTATCAATCAAAACGAATTGATCGTACAGCCCAGGCAATCCTTCAACAGCTCGGAATTCGCATTATTACGGCCCCAGTAGCCCGAAAACCAACCACCAACGAAAACGAAACAACTCACCTAAGCATCCTTTCTCACCTGCTGCCTATCTCAGCACTACCTGGGAATATCTATCCATCGCGAGGAAGCGAACAGTTTTTTTCAGACATCTTCAATTGCCCCCTCTCTTCCCCACCAAATCCTCCTTCCCACCCAGTTCCCGTCGCTCATCTTATCGTCCGGCCCATATATCGATGGTGAGTGATACATTCTAATGGATCTCGAACCGAGGCGGGATTTGCGCAAGGAAAGCCCGGGAAAACTCGCCGTTGTTTTTGCGGAAGAGAGCAGATGAGGTCATCTCATCTACCCTCTCTGAAGTCAAGTGCAGAAGCAAGACATCGAAATTAGAAATATTTAACAGAGAAACGATTAACATATAACAAGTCACCATCTAATTCGTCATTTATATGTGAACGGGTGCATATATATGTAAGGCCCTTGGTATATATATAAAGGAGAATTTCCCGTGTAGAAATTCCCAAAGAGGGATGATGAAGGGAAAAAAAGAACATAGAGCGCGAAAAAGTGGGGAAAAAGCGGAACCAGTTCTGTCCATTTCTCAAAATTCACACAAGGCCTTCCGTAGTCGATTAAAATAGTAAAAAGGGGCATGGAGAAAAAAGCAACCCCATTTATTCTATCTTTTCTACATACGCCACCGGGCCTTCATAAGTCTTCCTTCCGTGGATCAGATATTGAAGGCCAGCGAACATCGTCACAACCCCAAAAACAAGAATGGACCAATTCATGTTGACGAGCGTGGGGTTGTTACTATTCGGGAAGAAAGTGAACACAATTGCGAAGCAGAGGTAGCCAAACGAGAAAATATTAACTGGAAGGCCCCAGGTCCCCAAGCTGAATCGCGCTCGCGGCATTTTCTTCCACTGCATCCTGCGGTAGATAAAGCAGCCGATAGAGATAAGGTACGACGTAAAAAGCGATGCGATTGTGAGGGATGCAACCGCGTTGAATGCCTCCGTTGAGCCGATGTTAATGAGCGAGAGTAGAATCGTAATGACAGTCGAGGCTAGGACGGCGTTGACAGGGACCTTGGATGTTGGGTGCACACGGGCGAAAAAAGGGGAGAACGGAAGTGCATTATCACGGGCAAAGGCAAAGGTTTGTCGTGCCACAGTAGCTAAAACACTAATAGCGGCGCAAGCCTCCATCACAAGGAGGAGGCCACCGAAAGTGGTGGTTGCGGCCTTGGAGCCGGTTGCGTTCAAGAAGGCGGTAATGAACGAAAATCCGGCTTCAGCCTTAATGACCTCGTGCAAATCGCCCATGGTGAAGAGATAGGTGATAAGCATGATGAAGCCAAGGGAGCCGTTTATAAGAGCGGTAGAAATCATGCACCAGGGCACAACCTTGGAAGCATCTTTGATCTCCTCAGCTGAAGCGATGTGTTAGCTCGTATAACTCTGTTGAAAGTTCACTCAGGGATCAGGAGAGAAAACATACCAATATGGGTAGCAGCGTCGGGGCCTGGGAGATGGCCACAAGAAATCAAATTAGCACATACTATCGTAAGACATATAATATCATGGCATGCTCTTAGACTTACCAAGGAATGAGAAAATGGGACTTATTTGACCAACAAGACAGGCCAGCCCTAGAGTAGGCCACCCAGCCGCATTTGTGAACTCGGTAAAAACAGCTTTAGTCGGTGTCCGTTCCGCCATAACCCATAGTGGGATAATTGTCGCAAAGAACCCAAAAATATGGAGAATAAGAATCAGGCCCTCCAGCATAGGTAGATGGCTCGCCATGTACGTGTTGATGAACGTGGTTGCAAGAGCAACGGTAGCGGTGAAGAGAGTGCCGTGCCATCTCTCTGGTACATATCCAGGTTCGTTCAGCTGTATAAGGCTCTGCATGAGTGTACCGCAGAGAAAACATACGCTGGCGAAGGCGGCCTGCCATCCCAAGACCGAGAGCCAACCTGTAGATATATCCTTTTGATTAGTATTATCGTTGAATGGGTTACGACTCATTAGCACCCGGCGGCTTGTCAAGCTTACCGGTCGCATAACTAAGAAACTTTTGATATTTCCTTCCACCAAATTCACTCGTCCAGTGATATTGGCCGCCAGATGTAGGAGAACTAGATATCCCAAAGTCGTTGGTAATTGACATTTGAAAAAAATGTGGGAGATTGGGTAGTAGATAACCACCTACATTGAGGCCATCTCAGCCATAGAAGCTACAGTTGAGAAAAATCCGACGAAAGACCCAATATAAATGTATACAGATCCCGCCAGGCCTCCATTACTCAGCCCGAGAGTTGACGTCCTTTTGATAAGTATTATTAGCATGCACTTCCCTTTCAAAAGGTGATTGCCAGAGAGCTAAGAAATAATTGATGTCTCCATACAAGAGAATGGATTCCCATGTCGCCATGAGAGTGCAGGTAAACCCGAGTGTTGACAAAAACCGGAAGTTCCTCTTTGTTAAATGTTAGCCCACAGTTCGCCATACAATTGATCCACGATATCAATTATGATTTGCATATATAGTCCGACAAACTTACATTGAACTGTTGGTCTTTCCCAAGACGAGCCATGTCCGCCTTGTCCTGATTAGTTGCATCGTCTGAGGAGCTCACGCTGACTCCCATCCGACCTTTATTACTTTCGAATCTCTGGCTTCCCATGGTTGCGCTCACGTCTCTCATTGAACTTCGTATTGTTATGTTATTTTCTTTTTCTTTTACTTCTGCATATAGGTGGCGAGGGAAACGCTAAGCGCCGGCGGAACAACTTAACAGCGACCGCGTCTATGGTATGCCCAAAAACAACGTTCCAAACCAAGGGCAGGCGAGAGCTGGCGGTGGCCCTCCTGGGGAAATGGGTGGAAGTGAATTAGGATAAGTGAAAGCCTTGGTCGGAATTGGATCAGGAAATGCGCATTGTTCAACGCGACTCTCGAAGGAGAATAGGAGAATAAATATCACAAAGACGGAAACGATGGAGAAGAAGAAAGGAAGGTGAAAAGAAACGGAAAAGAAAAAACGGTCGAAATTACAAGACTCCCAGCGTGCCCCAGTGGCGGCCCGCTCTTGCAGGACGACCTGGAGCTGCTACTTACAGCGTACTCTCTTTGAACCCTGTACAAAGTGGTTACTCGCCGCAGACAATTGTCTAAGGAAGCGAAATGGATATTCCAAACCCCCATTCCCGTAGCATTAAATGTCCCCAGCTCTGTTCTGATGTATGCCTATTCAAGAAGGAGGATAAGATCAACTACATCGCGCGGGAGTTGGATGCGTTGGTGATCTAGCATCCAGCGGTATTCACTTGGGTTGGGATAACCCTCCAGGATGGGTTCAAGGATGGGATGGGTTCGTTTGTATCCCTGCTTAGCCCGCAAGCTGATGGAGACTACGCCTCTCTTTCGCCTACGCCTACTAGCGTATCTTACTCCAGGTTGTGCAGATCGGAACCTGGGTCCCCAACAGAAGCCAAGCGCCTAAAGCTTTAGCGTATGTGGTGGCAGCAGGCAGCCAGACCATGTTAGTCCGACGACGTCCGAAATAGAATCGTCTCCGTAGCCTAGAAAGAGCAACAAACGCCGAGACGTCCTATAGTCTAGGCTGTCTCACTGCTCGTGAGTCGTGACTCGTCCTTTAGAGTTAATTAGTGTGGAGGAGGTGATTATGTGGGGACGGTTGGTTATGCAAATGAGATCGGTTTGAGGCCATGGCTTGTTCAGCCCCGATATTTTTGATGGTATCGCGCTAAGTCATCGTCGCCATCGAGCCCGATGAACAACTTCGGCACTTGATATGGGCTAGAAAGATCTAGCCGGACGAGAAAGGTCATTTCACTCCTTGGCAGCAGCCGCGGTACCGATTGTGATTATTATTGAGAAGACTTCCTGAGAGATAGAATGACCAGAGGCCCCTTAAGCAGCCGGCTACCTAACAGAAGATGCCGGTGCGAAATGTTAGATTTGAAGTTAGTTAGATATGACAGGTAGACCGTAGAACTGCACCCCCCTCTCAACAACCCATGAATACTCACTTGATAATGACAGATGAAATGAAGATAAAGAAGAATACAAACAGTATACGCACCGTATATGAAACTCAATATATATTAAAACAGAGAAATCCCATAAAATAGAAGAAAAAATCAAGTGATCTGACTGCAGTGATTTATAATTTTTATTAGTAGTATTAGACTGTAGCTAGCTATCTTTCATAGTAATAGTCTTTTAAATATAGTTTAATACAAGCATCAAACGCTCGCTTACGCTCGCTTTGCTGCTTGCTCTACCCCTACCCCCTTACCCTCTACCACCACCGCCTCTACCACCACCACCCCGCAGCCCCTGTATTTCCTCCTGTATAACCAACACTTGGCCTGTATTTAACATCACACAAGGACTCATCATAAGCTCCGCTTGCATATCTCTCTATATCTCTCTATATTCTCTCTATATATTATAGAAAAACCAACTTTTCCGAGCAAAATGCCCTGTAACATGACCTCACATGATATCACATGCACCACATCAAATCCATGGATGGGATTGAACAGCCGGCTGTATGACTCTGATATTAATCTTCATTCTTTCCTTTACAGATGTTCTCTACTGTATTTACATTTTTTATACTCTTCTCTACATTCATTACAACCTATACATTCATTAATATACTCTATTTATTGTAGAAAAACTAACTTTTCCATGCAAAAAATATATCAATCTTTAATCATCATTCTGCTCTTTTCATACATTCTCTACAGTATTTACATTTTTTATACTCTTCTCTATATTCATTTTTGATCTCTGTGTTCATGGCATGCACTGCTATGCTGTGTAAATGCTCTGTAACATGATCTCATGTGATGTCATGTGCATCCCTTTGAATTCATGAATGAGATTGAACAGCCAGCTCTGCCGCCTGTACAGCTCTGATTAATCTGATAATGATGATAGAGGTGATAGAGGTGGTCGGGGTGGTAAGAGGGGGGTAGAGGGGTAGGAGTAGGGGGTGGAAGTGGTAGAGAGAGCGCGGGGCAGTAGAGGCAGTGGTGGTTGGTAGAGGGGGTAGGA